GTGAAGTAGCATGTTGTAAGATTAAATCTAGAAATGGGTTAGTGACTATAGGTGGAATATGCCGTAGTTCGTGTTGTCTTACTGACGACTTTATCCTAAGACACATCTGTTCTTGGAGTATGGCAGAATGTTGTCTCATCATTGGGGACTTCAACGCACCGCATATCAACTGGATAGAGCTTACAGCTCCAGGTGGTGGTTTCGATAGAGACCTTTTATCTACCGTTATTCACTGTGCACTTGTGCAATGTATCACAAAACCGACACATATTGATTTCAATCATGATCCGTCACTGCTGGACCTCTCCCTCAACCACCACTGTGAGGATGTCTTTGATATTCAGCACCTTCCTCCACTAGTGAACAGTGATCACGTTGTAATTCACTTTAAGTTTAGGACACATGGTATACAATTCGTATATGCTCCACGCCGTCCCAATATCTGGCGAGCCAATATTCCGGCAACCAGAAACTGTGCTATCCCGACTGATTGGTCGGTCGACGAGGATGGATTGATTGAAGATGAGTGGAATAAGTTTAAGGCTACATTCGAGTCCGTAACGTCGCCGTTTATCCCATGGTCAGCATGTAAGCTATCGCATTGCCCTCCATGGATTAATAAACAAACCTGGAAGCTGTTAAAGCGTAGAAAATACTTCTGGGATCTATTCTTGTTGACAGGTCATGCACCATTTAAGTGTGAGTACCAAAAATTCCGGAATATTTGTAAGATAACCATAGCCAAATCCCGTACTACTTACAAACGACAGTTATTATATGATAGCCGTACTTTTCCAAAACGACTGTTTTCGTATGTTAAACGGCGAATGAAACGTAGTGATAATATTCCCCCGTTACTGTTACACGAAAATTTAGATTGACTAGCTGAATCATATCGGGCAAAAGCTGAGACTTTTTCAAACTATTTTAGCGAAGTCTACTCTACGTTTATTGTAACAAATACTTGTCCCACTCACACCGAGATACCAACCATTGAATATGTATAGGTGACTGAAGAAACTGTTCTTCCGTTGATAACTAACCTCAAACCTGGTAAGATACCGGGCCCTGACGGGTTACATCCACGGTTGCTGTCATTTCTTTCGGACATTATTTCTAAACCGCTTGCGACACTCTTCAATATGTCCCTTCCACTCGCTCAACTCCCTAGAGATCGGAAAGAAGCTTTAGTCAGTTCTATATTAAAGGATGGTCAGAGGCAGATAGTATCTAACTATCGGCCTGTCAGTCTAACTAGCATAGTCGTTATGTTACTTGAAAAGAAAATTCAGGTGAGGTTGCTAAGCCACATAGATTTACACAATCTGTTAGCTTCTGAGCAACATGAATTTCGCAACAAGCGTTCATGCTTGACTAACTTACTTATTGCGAGGGAGGATTGGACAGCAGCCCTAGATCACGGTCTGTCTGTCGACGTGATATTCATAGATTTTAGCAAAGCATTTTACAATGTTTCACAATTAGGTCTTATGCAGAAGCTCACGAGCTTCGGAATAATAGGTACTGTACATGATTGGATAGGAAACTTCTTATATGACCGCAGACAGAGAGTGACGGTCATTCGAACGCTATGCAGTCAAATATCGTGTATCCCAAGGCACCATCTTATGCCCTCTGCTCTTCCTTCTCCACGTTAATAAGTTACCGCTGTTGCTCAGGTCGTCTACATTATTGTTTGCGGATGACGTAAAAATCTGGAGAACAATAAAAAGTGAACTGATCATCTGGACCTCTAAGCTGAGTTAGACGACTTAGATAGATAGACTCGAGGTTGGGGATTAGAAATCAATTTTAGGAAGAGTGTGTTAATGCACATCGGGCATGGTAATAGTTACCATTATACTATTGATGGTAAACCTCTTCCGTGCGTTCAAGAGCATAAAGACTTAGGAGTAATAATAAGTCATGACTTAAAAACAACTAAGCATTGCAACGCAGCCACTGTCAAAGGTTTTCGTGCGTTATGGTCACTTCGCCGAGCGTTCAAATCTTTTGACGAGAAAATGTTTCGAATCTTATATCCCACCTATGTAAGGCCACATTTAGAGTACTGTATTCAAGCAGCTAGCCCATGTCTGGTAAACGATACTAACTCACTTGGGCGTGTCCAGTGTGTGGGAACGAAATTAGTGAAGGGTCTTTCTAGACTTCCTTACGATGAGCATTTAAAACGCCTAAATCTTTTCCCCTTGTCGTATCGTAGGACACGAGGTGACCTTACACTGGCATTTCGTATCTTTAGCTATGACTTGGGTGGTAATATGTCCTATCTTTTTTCTCCCTCCAGCACTAATAATCTCCGCGGTCATAGCAAGAAGGTTCATAAACCACGATCTAATAAACTTAAAGTGGGGTCCCGTTTTTCTCATCGAGTACTCAATCACTGGAACGCCTTACCCGAATAAGTGGTATCAGCCCCATCAGTGAATACTTTCGAGGAGAAGCTGGACTTTCACTGGAAAGCAGTGTGTAAGGATTAATACAGGTTCATCAACCTACTATCCTTATTACTGAAGACTGAAAACCATTTAACCACTTAAACTCGTTGGAGAAACAGTCAGACACCATCGCGCTTAGACTGTGTATTCACTAACGAAGAATTCCTAGTCGACAACCTCTCAATCCTGGCTCCTCTGGGAAAGAGCGATCATGCCGTCATAGCCTTCAGTTTTGTCATCAAAACTAAGCTAAGGTATCCCAACAATAATCTGCGTTGGAATTTTAAACGGCTGAATGTCCCAGCTCTACATGACTATCTACAACAGGTGGCTTGGGGTGTTCACCCTCAACTCGATGTGGATGGTCATTGGGACTTCTTACTGCACACGCTCTTATGTGCTACAGACCATTCAGTTCCTCAAACGGTTCCCAAAAGCTGCAAGCCACCTACAGTAATCAAGAACCGTACCCTTCGCCTGCTAAGCCGCAAAAGGCACTGCTGGGCGGAATACAAACGAACTAATAACGATGGAGCGTATAGGCAATATAAACATATCAGGAACATATGCACGAAGGCTATAAGAGAAGACAGGCTTCAGTACCAAACAAAGCTTATGGACAAATTCGCCTCTAACCCTAGAAGCTTATTCCGTTATGCAGCCTCTCTTCGTCAAGCCAAAACAGGAGTTTCTCAACTGGTAGGTCTTAACGGCCCGACCAACAACGATGGCGACGCCGCTAACCTTCTGGCGGCACATTACTCTCAAACATTTCAACCGGCTGACATCAACTTTACTGACGACAGTTTCATCTGCAATTCCACAGGACTTTCTGAAGTGGACCTAAGCGCTGACTTGGTGTTCCGGAAATTGCAGCACTTAAGATTAGACACTTCTCCTGGCCCGGATATGGTTCATCCTGCCATACTGAGGGAGGCAGCCTCAATCCTGGCAACGCCGCTTAGCGTGATGTTTTCTCACTCGCTTAGCCGAGGCAAATTACCGGAAAATTGGAAGTTGGCTCACATCACACCAATTTTCAAAGGTGGTCGACGCAATGAACCTTCAAGTTATCGGCCGGTGGCTCTTCTGTCATTACCTTCAAAACTCATGGAGTCCCTGATATGCGACGGTTTAAATGACTATCTACTGTCCTTAAATTTCTTCTCACCCCAACAGCATGGTTTCAGGAAGGGTTACTCTTGTATAACCAACCTGCTGACTGCGGTGGACAGATGGACAAGCATCCTCGATTGCAAGGGAAAGGTTGATGTCATTTACCTTGATTTCTCAAAAGCTTTTGATAAGGTTAACCACTTGTGTCTTATCAACAAGCTCAAACGACTAGGTATCAAACCACCCCTAATCGATTGGCTTACTTCATACCTAAAAAATCGACACTTTAAGGTTAGGGTTAATTTCACTTTATCTCAGGCTATGGAATGTCCTAGTGGGGTCCCCCAGGGCTCAGTACTAGGGCCTCTTCTCTTCTTGATCTACATAAATGATCTTCCTCAACAGGTAACGTCAGATTTATTACTTTTTGCCGACGACGTGAAACTTTGGAGAGAGATACGCAACCAAGACGATACACAGGCACTTCAGGAGGATCTGACTCGACTTCAAAGTTGGGCAGACGATAACGGACTTACCTTTAACACTTCAAAGTGTAAAGTAGTCCATCTGCGACATGTTGCAAACTACAGTTACAACTTAGGAAACTCCTCTCTAGTAGTATCCCAAGTCGAAAAAGATTTAGGAGTCCTGGTGCCCCATGATTTGAAGTCTTACGCTAACTGTGACAAAAATGCCTTCCGAGCAAACCTTGCACTGGTAACGTTGAGGCGCATTTTTGGCCAGTTTGACGGAAGAACTTTCCACACAATCTTCAATAGTTTCATCCGTCCCCATTTAGAGTACGGAAACATAGTACTCCCCCCTCACTCCAAAAGGACAAGGTCACTTTGGAGCGTATCCAACGGCGAGCCACGAAATCAGTTCGAGGACTCAAATCTAAGCCTTACGAAGAACGCCTCCGTTCACTAGACCTTTACCCATTAGAATATAGGCGTCTTAGAGGTGATTTATTAATGGCTTATAGTATTCTTAACACTTCTGGACATCCTCTTAAACACCTACTTAAGCTTAGTTCGAATAACAACCTAAGGGGTAACACCCAGAAACTGGAAACACAACATAGCAAGACGGAATGTAGACACAACTTCTACTCCTTAAGAGTTGTCAAAAGCTGGAATTCGCTGCCAGCCGAGCTAGTCCAAGCGACTTCTCAGGAGTCCTTCAAGAGGCAACTTGACCTATTCTTAAGGACCAAGAACAGCATCACATTATGATTTACCAATCTCTTTTCCTCTTTTATTGTTAACATACCTAGGTTCCTGCCTGGAGGATTTAGTGATCCCCTGCTACTAGACACGGAAGCCTGTTAAGCGAAAGCTTCTTCTATTCCGTCCACAACCATTTGAACCATTTGAACTTTTAGGATCGCAAGTTAAATTATTGCGGAACTGAAGGTCAGGCAGAATGCCGTTCCCTGAACCGATACCGTCCTATTTTGACTTACAACCTTCGTCAGGACCATCATATCAGTTTAGGTCTGTCGAAGATGTCAACAATATTGTCCAAATGCTGTTATGGAAAGTCTCTCAAGAACACCGGTATACTGGCGTTGGTTGCATACAAGAGGAGCTTTTCAGGGTATTAATACTTTCATCATAAAACATGTAATTTTAAGCATTATCCGTCAGCCATCAATTTTATTACGAGCATTCGAATGAACGCAGACTGTATACCCCGTCTGGCAGAACACAAAAAGTTGATTCAAAGGGTTAACACGCTTTTGTGGGCGTATGCTACTACTCGTAACGTTCTAACTTTGGCGGACATGGAGCAGCTAATACAGGTATGTCTTGATGTCTATTTTTATTTTTCAATGGGCACTGTCACTTGTTTGGTTGCGATTATTGGAATCTAACTTGTGACTGAGCATGAAATCCCGGTGGCTTCTGACAAGACTTAACCCATTTCTGAAACTATTAACGCATAACCATCTATGCCAGATGATTTAAATTATCTAATTCAAAAACTTTGTTTCTTTCATCTCAAAATATAAGATCTAAGTAACGTCTTGATTCAGTTTCAGTTTCAGTTTGGGAAGGACAGGAGGCTCGATGGCCTATGTTAGTCCTGGCAGTGGTGGTCTCTCAGTTGATCCAACTTTCTTTTGAAAGAATCGACGGATGGAGCCTCAACCACGTGCTGAGGTAGTGAATTCCACTCGTTGATGATTCGATGGGAAAGTCGATAGTCAGCTGACAAGTAAATTGTTCTCGGCTTATGAACTTTTTGGAGTGTCCTCGTAAATTCTCTGTTTTGGAAGACAAGAAAAATGAGGGCATATCAGGTGCAAATTTGGCACCAAGCAACTTGAAAACTGTAATCAAGTCGCCTCTAGTTCTGCGATATGACAACGGGATTGACTTTTTTACTATAAAATCCAACCTACAATATTTCTAGCACAGGAAAGAAATTCAGACAATGCTTAAGTCATTGCACTCTCAGCTAATAGTTTTCAGACCGAAAAGTTGTCTTGCTTACTTTACTTCGTACGTCCAAGTATAATCATTAACTCTTCTATTGAACTTGTTAAACGCAAATCTGTACTTCATTACTGAATTACGTTAATCACACAAAACCACTGGACACTTTTAAATTGGTCGAGTTTTTAAAAAAGTTTATGGGGTGACCATTGACGGCGTAAAAAATTGTGTGATATTGTTAGGTTTGAAGCTTCACGAGTTCACTTAATCTGCGAACGAGAACAAGACTCAGTGACCAAAGACCAGTAATCTAACTATTGATGAGTCCCAGCCCTGCTATCTAGAAGAAGAAGTTCAAGCTTGGTATGGAAAATATATTCTGCAAACAGCCAGAAAGAGAGCGATCCCACAAACACAATTTAAAACGTATATATACAAATATGTATAATCGATATTGTCATGGGAGATTTTTAAACATTAATCAATGAGTTCATCAATTGACTGCTATGAATCATTTGATCGATAAGTTAATCGATATGATAAAATTACAAATATGAGTTTTGGGGATATATCGTCCCCAACAGTTATACACTTTTCGCAAGTTACAAAGCACATCCTGATTTTCTATTTGATACTTCGAGTGGTTCTCAGTTTGAATTCTCGGTAGACCCTCTACTTTTCCGAATTGAGTTCTTTTCATTTAGTTGTATCTAAAATAACTTCGAAATTGCGTTAGAATATCTAAGGAATTTAAAAAGTTGCTTCATCAAATAATTCCTTGCGTTTTGTGTTTCAAGTTGGAAGCACCAAATGATTATCGACTTCTTGGCCCAATCGTAAGGTTACCAGCTGCACTAGAAATACTTCAAGTTAGTGAATTTGATCAACATATAGTGGCGTGTTTCACAACAGGATTTACAAATCAAGCACTGAAAATGTGTACAGAGGATGTTTTAGAAGAACTAAAAACTTGCATCTGTAAAAATCGATATCGTTTACCTACAACTGTTAGTCGAGGATCAGTTTGTTCGTGGTGGGAATCAGTGTTTACAAATCATATGCTGGGAGTTTTGGATAATGTCAGGGTCGTACAACATAGCAATCAGTATCAAAAGTTAAATCAGCTGGCCAAGTATGGAATTAGAATTAAGGGGTTCTCCCATCTTGTCCAAGTAGGTTGTTTCCTATTGTCTTAATGAATTGTTTTTGTAGTATATATATAATCACATTAAGTTTAAAAGTAATCAATTTAGCTTTGCTAGTTTTTCTTCAGCTACATACATTATCTTTCGCTTTGTGGTTTATAACACAATTCAGCAATGAAATACACACTTCTCTAGTTAGTCGTCAGCTTTATGTATGTTTTAAAAAAAACTTCGATAACTCATTGGCCATGGTCAAAATATACGAAGGGACTTTTCAAACTGTTTTTCAGTGGGGAATGTTTCATTCTTTATACTGCTACATTTGTTGCCATTATGAAGTGACATGTAGCACCGCGGCTTAAAATTTGGCAAAAGTTTTACCAGTTGGTCATAATGAGCTATTGAGGTTAAATTTTCTTTATAATACACTAGCTGTTTAACTTAGCTTTTTTATTAAGATATCTGCAAAATATTTACTAGCAAGATGGATTTTTCAAGACATGTCTATTGGGGCTACATTGAAAACCCACAAAACCATCATAGTCCCGAATTACGCCGTCTGTATTAAGAGTAGAGTGTTTGTGTTTTCCTACATACTGGATACATTTATTAGGTTTCATAATGACTAAACCTCCAGATCATGAAAAAGTTATTCATCCTCATAACTTACCATTAGGATAAAATGAAAGGTAAATGGAAAATGAAATTAATTATTTATTCAACTCCTCAAAGGTTTTGAGCATTTATCAATGAATACACGAAAATTAGTTCAGCGTTCATAAGGATACATTATTAACAGGTGTCTAGTTGTTCCATCGTATCCTTCGAACTGTCTTGGCGTATAGCCATTTATTCTCAACAGCAAGTAGATAAGTCATTGTCAGTAGATGACCATTCGAATACTGCTTCACCTATTTCGATTTGAGCAACTAGGTAGTATTACTAGCCCTCACATTTAGGGTGTGACTTGAAATTGAATACACGAATCTGTACCTGGTAGTTGAGTTAATCAAGATTAGAAATTAACATGAGGTATCAGGTTACTATAACATAATTCTTTGCCTCTATTCTTTATAGGAAATAACAAATAATCTAAGACCTGAGAATTTAAATAAAGCTGCTAGACTAGCACAAGATCAATTAGATAATGATATCCGTCAATTGTATAAGGACTTTACTTCCTCCTTGGTGAGTAAATCAGCTCTAAGTAAGTGCTTAAATGGGTTTTTTCCACATTTTTTTTTCATTATTGGCTTAATTTACATGTATACTTATTTAATGAAGAAAGCTGCGATATATTTAAAGCTACTCAATTGCTAAAGTGTACTTACTTACTTACGCCTGTTACTCCTCATGGAGGAGCATAGGCCGTTCACCAGCATTCTCCATGCAACCCTGTCCTGGATAATCATTTCCAGCTCTTTCCAGTTGTTATTCATCCTTTTCATATCGGCTTCTATTTCCCAATGTAATGTGTTCTTTGGCCTTCCTCTTTTCCTCTTCCCTTCAGGATTCGAAGTTAGGGCTTGCCTCGTGATGCAGTTTGACGATTTGCGTAATGTATGTCCTATCCATTTCCATCGTCTTTTCCAAATTTCCTCTTCAGCTGGAAGTTGGTTTGTTCTCTCCCACAGAAGGCTATTGCGGATGGTATCCAGTCAATGGATGTTAAGTATCTTGCGTCGACAGCTATTTATAAATGGTTGTGCCTTCTTGATGGTGGTTGTTGTAGTTCTCCAAGTTTCAGCTCCATACAGTAGAACTGCCTTGACGTTCGTATTGAAGATTCTCACTTTGATATTGGTTGAAAGTTGTTTTGAGTTCCATATGTTCTTCAATTGTAGGAATGCGACTCTTGCTTTGCCGATCCTCACCTTTACGTCTGCATCTGAACCTCCTTGTTCATCGATGTTGCTTTTCAGGTATGGGAAGGATTCTACATCCTCCAGAGTTTCGCCATCAAGAGTGATTTGATTGCTGTTCTCCGCCTTGAATTTGAGGACCTTGGTTTTCCCCTTGTGTATGCTGAGGCCTACTGATGAAGAGACTGCTACTACACTGGCTGTCTTTATCTGCATTTGTTCATGTGTATGCGATAGAAGGGTTAGGTGATCTGCGCAGTCCAAATCGTATAATTAGTTCTGAGCTATCCATTGTATTCCGTGTTTTCCCTCAGATGTAGAGGTCTTCCTAATCCAGACAACTGACAGAAGAAAATGGGAGGGGGAGGGTAGATACCCACGTCTGACTGCGGTCCTTTCTTGGAACGCATCTGTCAGCTGTCCTCCATGCACGACCTTGCACTGTAGTCCGTCGTATGAGTTCCGGAAAATGTTGACAATCTCAGGAGCTCCATAGTGTCGAGGAAGTTTCCATAACGTTCTTCTATCTACACTGTCAAATGCCTTTCCATAATCAATGAAGTTGATGTGCAGTGACGAGTTCCACTCAACTGATTGTTCGACGATGATCCGTAGTGTTGCAGTTTGGTCTGTAGTGTAGTGGAAATTAAAAATTTAACAAAATACAAGTAATAAAGATAGTGAAAGGTAATAAAATTATCTCTTGATCGGTTCCTAATCTTAATGAAAAACAACAACCTCCACAACTGACAGTTATCATGTGACCACTGACTAGCTTCAAAAGGAAATTTCCGAAGCTCTAGTGAAAATCTGTGGCCAGTGGAGATAAACTATGTCAGGTTTTAGGTAGTTATCCACCAAAGCCAATGGGAGATGGTTGCGTAATGTTGTGAATTGATTGAAGTAAAATATTAACACCGTTGGATGTCAGCTCAGTGGTCTAGAGGCTAGGAGTTCGTACGCGAGACTGAAGGTATTGGGTTGGATTCCCGTGTGCGGGATCGTGGATTCGCAATATTGAGGAGTCCTACACTAGGACGAGACGGCTGTCCAGTGCTTCCAGGTTTTCAATGGCGGTTTAACTTATATCAATTTATGATTTCAATAAATAGCTTGGTTTTGTTCATCATATCTAACAAGTCATTAACTAGTAACAACTGAAGGTCGACAACTGCTCACGTCATATTCAGGATAATTTTCATTCTAAATAAGGAAGTATCTATTTCCAAACTTATGGATGCACAACTTGTAGATAGTTTTGAAAACCTGTAAATAGTATTAATGAATAGATTGAATAGGGTGATTTATTGGTTGAAGTACTTAGCTTTTTATAGTTAGGCTACAGACCTAAACCCACCCAGCCTACTTTGCTGCGAATAGCCAAGTGGTATCACTAGCCCCCCAAACCAGGGTACATAGGCATCTGCTCATTAATTAAAGCTTATTCATACATTGCTAATGATTCCTCATATATATGTTTGGGGTATCAGTTAGTTTGAAGGGAGGTTTCTACCGTACTAACTATCGATATCTTGCTCAAAAACTTTGGGAAACTTGTCTTGCTTTAACATTCGATGTATTTAAATCTATTTTTTCTAGAGTCATATCGATCTATGAAACCAGTCAATGTTCTTAAACATTTGGCAACTTGTGCTACACAGTTACACGCTGAACTGCAAAATTGGGCTGAAGAGAGAAGTTTAGTATGGCCTAAAGGACATTTAGATTCGCTACTTGTATTTGGTCAATTTATGCAACGTATTGCTGCTACTGGGGTAAGAAATCATATATATATATATATATATATATATATATATATATATATATATATATATATATATATATATATATATATATATATATATATAATGGAGCGTTTTTGCACTCTTGAGGGAGATTAAGCTCCTTGTGGGATTAGAACCCACATCACCCAGCCTCACATTCTGAAACGTTACCACTGACTTATTCACGATGCTACTGGTCTTCAGACTATGGTACAACTGGTTGGTTACTGAGCTATAACCAATGTTGTAGTTGCCTAATTTCTTAGTGCCGAATAAATTCAATCAACCAAATTGCGTTTCCATCAAGATTCCGACTACACTTTACTGATGAATATCAACTAACACTAGACCTTAGTCAAGAAGTATATTACGGACGCTCTGTATAAGGATGCACATTTTACATAAATTAAGATTTGCTATTATTTTTCCCTTAGTACATATATTTTTTCCTTTTTCATGTCTTTCAGCCTTTTCGTACTCTCGTACATTTACTCATTCTACTCTTCAATACGGAATCAATGAATATCAAGGAATTATTGACTCGAATCGTATCGTCTGTGCGTAAGGCGGATCGAGTTTTGGAATCATCCTCACAACCAACAGCAGCAGATGATACGGAACTTATTGACCTGACAGTTAATTCAGACGATGAATTATGTGACATTTCAACGAAACTTGACGGTATGAGTTATTACTGCTAGAGAATAACGTTGAATTTATTATTTCCCACTTATGTATGAACTATGGTTCTTAGTGCAACTCATTAAGTAGTTTTATTCACTTGATTTTGAGGTATGCTGTTTTTGGGATCGTTAATTTTAATATCCGTCAGCCCGAAATAAAGTAGAAGAGGTTGATTTCAAACCCATAACGCTCTTGTTCAAAGTCCAGTGCCTTACATATTAATACTCTAGATGTGTGAAATATTCAAGTCTTCTGACAATTTCTGTATACATATAAACCGTCAACTACACTCTGTATGTGACTATATTCGGAACTTACCTCTTGATTTAATCTAAAATCATCAAATTAGTTATTAGGCTAAACTATTAACAAAAAATATTCACCTTATGAAATAAAATAAGGCTATCGATAAATAAATTTTGTGGCAATGGTACAAATGTATTAGTAAGTCATAGGTTAGTGATTGAATCCCTCGATTCTTATCAGTTAAATTATTGATTTTTGTCCACCAACCTAGTTTGTTTCGATCAACTAGACAGTATCACTAATCCTCAAGTGGATCTGTGCCTGTTTCATCCACTAAGTTACAGATTCTTGTTATCGGTCTATCTACTTCTGTTTGGACAGCTGAGTAATATCACCAACCTTCACACTAAGACTTTGACTTGAAGTCCGATTACACTAACCTGTACCTAGTAGATAACTTGATGATGACAAGTCTTTAGGATGTACTTGATAATATAAATTGTAAATATCTTCAAGGACTGACAATTGCTATTTAAATAAAATTTTCAATATCTCTGTCATTGTTTATTTTTAGCAGATGCTATCACAACTAAGTATCCCAAATTGACAGAGATTGTAGACAAATTTAATGATTTGTTAAGACAACAACAGCAACACGAAGAAGAAGGTAATGTTGTGAATCAATCCAACAATTTGTGGTTATCACTGGCATCATTAGAACGTGAAATTTTCCCACAAGTAATTGGTCAGAATTCTCCATCTTTATTAAGTCAACTTGCTGAAGCTATAAATGACGGTGTGAACAATGTGAATTTAGTAAGCATCAAGTCTTTTTTTCTTATTTCCTAAAAAATGCTTTAATTCATATAATTCACCAAAGTATCACATTCGTGTATCAGGACGTAGCATGAATTCTTTAGCTGTTAGTCTAATGCATGTTATTTAGTGCAAAATTCTTGGTTGGGAGGTCCGCTTAATAATCGTGATTAGTGGTTTAAATGTTGAGTGACATAGTTAAAAAATCTGTCTGTGTCGCAGATAATTCCGCTTTTTGTCTACCACCTAGATCCTGAGCTTCCTGAGTTATTCCGTGATTCATTGCTTTCCTCTTAGATTACACTTTCTTTGTCTAATCTTTTTTGCTGTCGCTACTACTACTATCGGTTGCGTTGTATGTTTTTCATACTTTCATCTAGCTGTCGTGATGTGGTGTGGCAATTTAAGTTGATGAACATATGTTCTAGGTTCTATGTCGATTGTAACTGATCATTTGTTCTACTAGCGTACTCGGGTTTAATCTACAACTTTGTGTCTATGAGAATGACTGAAAATACCGGACTGCCTGAACTGAAGTACGTGTGGTGGAGTTCGGAGGTACCGCTTGATGATTATATGTTGAACTCTTTAATTACCAATTCACCAAATCAACCAGTTGTATATTTCAATGATGATTGACAACTTAAATAAATACGTATTTCGCCTCATTTAGGACTCCTTATTTAAATGTGGTTGTATTCATGTTAATGTTTTCATTAACATTCATATCTGGTATCCATACTTTCTGTAACTTCATTGACAGTATTTAGGGTAATGTTTACCAAAGTGTTTACTAGGTAATATGCATTCATCTGTATATCTAGTGTACTTGTCTATTTTCTGACACCAAACTTGACAGAAAGCAATAATGTGGCTTGTTATTCACTGGATTAGGTCATCCCTGACTAGTTAAAATGGCTTCTTTGAATCGAGCCTCATTGAGAATATCATCAGTAACGTGTGGACAAATTTAGTAGATTAATCTCAATTGAGAAAAGGAAAATGCTTCCCGGATTCTCCAAATTAGTGAAATATGTTTGTGTGAATGATTACTTCCTATGTTGATGGAAATCCTATTAGTGTACAAAACGAAATTTCATTCTCTAGTACTCTTAAATTTCATCTGAATAAATATATTGGAGAGTGAGAAAATCAGAATCATTTCTTGGTTTCTCATAAACAATAATTTAATGTAGACTAGTTTAAACTCAAAAGGATTAAGATAGCGACAGACATAATGGTAATAAGCTATATAGAGAAAATGATCTGTTCAAAGTATGTTTGAACACACACTGGTTACACTAATATGTATAAATTAGAACCGAATTCTATAGGAGCTGTGGCTTCGTGTTTAACACCCTCTATTTTCAATTATTGCGTTTCAGGTTCGAGCCCTACTTTAAGTATTTAAATTTAGATAGTTGGGGAAAATTACTATTAATCAAAAAAAGCTCATGACCAGATTGATAAGTTTTACATTACCAAATAGCATTTTGACAAACTAATGAAGTGTGACTCAGTAAAATATCAAACATAATACAAGTTACTCATGAGTAATATAATTAAATAAAGTTTCAGAAATGAACTTTAAATGTGGTTAAATTACATTGTTTATTTTTTATTAGTTTCCAGTTAGTGTGACTGATATCAGAAAAGATAAAATACATGATGAAAACAGTTACAATGAATCAAGTCCAGGTAAAGCTAATGTTTTACACGAAGAATCATCAACATCAAGAGATATAGATCCTGGACAAGTATTTGACTTTGTACAGAAATTGACATGTATCTCTTCGAGAAGTAAAGAGGTTAGTTATTGTTCATGACGTTTATCATCACAGTTCAATCGCTACTTTCTTTCAAGATTTTCTACTAGTTAAGTGGGTTTTTTTTCGTAGAATTTATTTGATTACCTTTTTTCATTGTCAATATCTTTGCGCTCCGAAACATACAGAAGTATATATTGCTTAATGTATATTACATAGACAAGTTACATTGTACTTGGTACAATATAAAAACAGTTATGATTTCAAGATATTATTTATTGCAAATTAATTTTAGGTGAAAAGAACCGTTAAAGGGAGTACTATACAACTGATGTTACGTGGTTGGATATGGTTGACAGGAGACCCTGAACTTAGATTTCGTGTTAGTTGGCACTTACCAGCAGGGTATACTTTCAGTCCTTAGGGAACTGATGCTTCTTACTGGATTTTAGTCCACGTCGTCCAGCCTAATAGTCTGAGACGTTATCATTAAGCTCTTCGGACCACAAGCATTTGATTTTCCATCTTTGTAACTTTTCCGCTATGGGTACTTCTAATTACACACATGTACTGGTTAATGGTGAAAAACGTCACCTTTTTCTATTGATGACATAAATCATACGATTCCACATATCAGCTAAGATTTCAAATATGAATAGATTTGTTTCGACTTATCCTTAATTCGTTAGTAAGTCATATGAACGTCCTATATTCAACCCTTTATTTCGGAATAATTCTTGCACGCTTCATAGAAGTCCGTAAACTAGACGATTATGCTTTTTCTAAAACAATGTAAGGGTCAAGTTGACAAAATTAAAACCAAAGACATAAAGCAAAGCCATATTCTTGTAATATTATACTATAAATTTCTTAGGCTTCTGTGTATGTATAGATTTTTAGAAGTCCTATAAATAATACAAACTACAGGATATATGACTGAAAGACCCGGATGTACATTGTATCTCAGGACGTTGCATTAGTTCATCAAATCATCTGAGTCGTGTTAGTGGGGATTTACACGATAATGACAATCAATGGTTAGAGATATTGGTTGACATAAATCAGAATCGGTCTCATCGGTATTGATACATTCAATCTATACCTTCCTCTATATCTTCCAGTTCCAATATTCCCCGTACAAATCGTTTCACTCTTTTTTCTCGAACCATAATACTAATTTTTTATTCTTCTCAAATAGCATTACTATTACAATTATTTTGACTATTTTACCATTCGTCTTTTTAATTTCATTTTGCTATACTTATTTGGTATAATAACTTAGACTAACGGGAATTTGTACACCACGCTCTATATTGATTATGATTAATTCATTCATGTTTCAGGATAAATGATCTAACTTATTTATAACACTTCTGGTTAATATCTACAGGGAAGCATAATTGATAATAGTTCTTTCTTAAACTTGGATGAACAAATGAGCTGATAATATGAGAATTAATTTTAATCAAACATGGTAACTTATTTTTCATCCAAAAACGATATCTCTTTTCGATTTGGATTAATTATATACACTCTTTGTCTTCCCTTAAACTATAAGATTATAATCGCTTTATACCTTTCTTTCTAGGAACTAATTCTTTCTTCCTATACTATATCCTTATATGCAATCTTTCTTTTATGTATTACCTGTCAGTCAGTCAGTAACAACGTAGAACTTCGTATGTAAGTACATCAGTTTGAGTTGCCATACCACATCAGCACAGAGATGCAGTTGTCGATTCAAATCCCATAGTGGTAGAGGTAGTAAGAGTATAAGCAGTAATCGGGAACATTCGGGATTGAAGATGCTATTTAAAGAGTATGATCCAGTGAAATAAATTTGGGAAGGGAAAAAAAGGGACACGAATAATTCAGAAGATTAGAATTTAGGAGAACACAGAGTGGATAAACCTCTGCCATTGCAAATGATTTTGAACCGTGTCATGTCCTGACCGTAGCTGCTACCTTGACGTGGTGGTCGGGCTTGCCTATCGAGCTATATTGGCTGGAACATATGTTCCTGCAGGTTTTACCATGCCAGGCAGGTCGATTGGAGAATGGTAAGACTAAAAGCAGCAACTCAAGGTCTGAGGGCGAAGTCGTACTGCTGACTGTAGAGGTGTGTGACAGCAGCAAGGTGTTTCCCTCGGACAACCAGCATCTGCAGCGATGCCGCCTTCTCACAAGGAAGTAAGGGGTTAGAAAAGGTCGGCCTTAAAAATGTGACACCTCACCCTACCTCACGGATTTCCGTCTCCGGCGGTAAGGCCCATTGAAGAACGCAGCTAACACGTTAATAACCTCCCACTAATAGGCCGTGCGCGACCGGCCTCAGGCAGTTGTCCCTTGGGCTCTACGGTCACGCTCCTAGATCGTTAAGACCAACATTGATCCAAATTCCTTTTCAGGTCCCTCAAGAAATACCCTTCCACGGTGTAGGAAACCGGGAAGTGATATCAACTCTCATACCGTAACGAGACCAAGTTGGTCACATTCAAATCCTTCCTACATCTCCTAATAACTCTATATATTACCACCACTGAATTAACTACTATGAATTTAGTGTTCATCTTCTTGTGCTAATGAAGTGTCGCGAATTGGACTGATGCATATATGTGCCTGATCCTACGTTGTAGCTGACTGACTGAAATACCTTTTGAATAAATTTCTGTACACAATTTCCTGACTGTCACCAGCAATAATCCATGTTTTTCTTTTTATAAAAAAAACAAGGTATATGTTTAATAATTAAATCACTGATTACTACTATTGTAAATGCATACATGTCTTTTCAGTAGAAGAATAACATACAATCACTTACGTTATTTAATCCTTTTATTGTTTTCCTTAACAACAACACCAACAAAATACAAATTTAGGAATTGTGTAAACTTGTCTGTGAAAATTTACGCATCATTCACACATCGAAATTGGAGCAGTTGATTGAATCAATTTTATCACAAATTATGGATGATCATGAAATCAATAAAGTAAAACCATTAGTTTATCAGTAAGTTAGTTGTTTTCTTTTTTGTTTGTTTATTGTATGTGTTATTCGATTGATTGTGGCGGTTATTGGTTAAAGTTGTAGAGTTTATTACTAATGTTATATTTATACATGTATATCCTTACTTGATAGTGAATATTCTGAAAAGTTTACTCTTAATTTTACGAATGGAAGTAACTAAAAAAAAAACACGGTTCATGGATAGTCAAGTCGTCGGAAATTGTTTCTATCGTATAAAAAGAATACTCGTCAATATATAGAATACTTCAATTATATTTTTCTTACTTTGTGATTGGATGTAAGGTAGCTGAATCGCACCAGTATTCAAAAAGTATGGTACACGAACGGAAGCTACACTATGATGCATATTAAATTTGAAAGCAGTGACTAAGTGGTTGTGGTGGTCGACTCATAGCCACTAAACTTCAGGTTCAAACTCGACTCCACTTCGCTTTGGGTAACTGGGTGGTATTAGCGATCTACAATCGAATGTCTTGAAGGGGTTCTATGAAGATTGATTCAACTTGTAGGATGTATTCACAGATTGATCTCAGTTAGGCTACTATTGAAAACTAAAGAGTACTGTTTCGTATTAGCATGTAACTCTTCAGCAGTGCATATTCATGACTCTTATATGGGTCGAGTTCTGGACTTCTGGGCCTCTTGGTGAACACCTAACCGTCAGAACCACTGGGCTAGGGTCCAGTTTCAGCTTCAACTAGTTTTTAATATAGCGCAACAACCATTCAGTTTCATTGGTGATAACTGTTTCACTCTCAACGTGTTTGAACTTTACCAGTCACAACTTCTTACTAGAGCTTCAAGAACATCCTGTAGCAAGTCACTAGTGAGGTGACTTTTATCGGTCCAATTGGAAAGGTTTTGTAAAGAATAGTTTACTTTGTTGATTTTATTCGTCACAGCGTTCTTCCTGAAAGTCGTGATCTCTATCCCTGCCGGTCGTGTAGTACGCCTCGGTTTTCAATGATACCCAGACTAAGATCGAATTTTGTCGGATGCAACTTTAATAACAACCCTATATTCATTAAACCCCTTCAACAAAACGCACTAGTTTGGACTCTCGATTTGAAATCGCCCAATATTCACGTAGTTACTGAATTACTTTATGCAAAAAGTATATTTTTATAGGATTTGCTTTTTCTTCAAACTATTTTTTATGCGTAGTGAATTTTAAGATTTTACCTCACGTGCTGGATAAGACGAGCTAGCTTGTAATGTATTAATCCACTCTTTTCTAAATTTACAATATCGGAAGGTAAATAACTAATGGCAATGGCGTATCATGAATAATTACTGTTATATTACTGATTGTAAAGTTTTTGTTTTGACATATGGTATCAACTCAGATCGAATGTCGCTACCTAGAATTTTTGCATTAACGTTTTACATCCTTTTTTTGTGTCAAGTTTTTAAGTTGAGATTGTTATTTATCATCGTGATGACCATGAGATGGTGAAAATGTGTACCTCAGGTGGATGATTTTGGTAGTTTTATTATTTGAACTAGATGGTGTAGTCGTGGAGCCTTCATTGTTCTTTTGAACAATATCATCAGCATAAACGTCAGGTAGAAATGAGGTATTCGAATTTTTTTTCACATTTGACTAACAGCTTGTCCTGTCGACCTCAATCTTGATTGATTATTGTCGATCTTTAACCTGTCATTGTCTGCATTTCTATTTTTATTGTCTACCCATCTTAGTATCGCAGTATGTATACCTATTATTTATATCTAAAAATACTATTTCGTTATTCGATTTTTCAGTCATCATGTTCATTTACCCAACATTTTAACTATGGAAGAAACTCAACAATCTATAAGTTTACAATCGTCATCATCAGATATTATTTCACGTTTGCTTACTCAACGTGAATGTGTCCTAAGTTTTCTGTCAGCCTGTCCTTCTTTAATGGATTTAGAAGCATGGTCTCAATGGTATCAAGATTGTCTATTCTATGATCGTTGGGGTAGTCTTGATTCATTTCTTATAGAGGCTGGAGCTGAACAAGGTGAGGCTTTTTTATTTGTTTAGAAAACCAAAATAAGTTTATTTTTCCCACTTTAATAACTATTTTGTTTTACCATACTGTGTCTATCTTGGAGGAGGAAAAGCCTTTTTCTTTTGACTTTTCACTGTTTCTCACCAAAATTTTATCGTAATCCCCGGTAGATTGCATTTCTTTCATTCCTATCAGTTATGGATTGTCTTTTCTTGTCAATTAGTTACACAGACGTTTTGTTCAAGATAAAATTGCTTTTTCTCAAGATGACAAAATATTCTTTTGTAAAAAATTGGTCATCTTTTGAGGTATTACTTAACTAATCAGTCATGGTCGTGATCAATATAAAGCTTGAAGCGAATGTGCCTTAGCTTAATATACTATATCACACCAACTCAGCGAGATGAGCTTAACAAGATAAATGGCAAACGAATCGAATTAATTGTGGTGGAAATGATAGTTAGCATGATTAAATATTAAAAATATAGTTTGAGAAAACGGAATTAAGTCGAGAAATAAAATCTATGAATTTATAAAAAGCCGGTGGTTTAAAGAAAGCCAAATAGTAAATGAGTCTGCACCACTACGGCGGATTCTGAGCAATATTATCCAGCGTCTCTAGCCAATGACTCCAATTATCTCACGAACCTTGACGATATAGACAGTGCGGTAGCTTAGTGGTACCTGCTTCTGTTTGGGCGCCATGGTAGTATTCCAGCCCTCACACAAATCGAATGTTGTGTGCACATATATTTGGTGCCTCCTTACACCAATGTCTATATGTTTAAATAATAATAGCTTAGTTTTTACGATGCACGACCCTTAGCCACCAGATTCCCAGTTTGAACCCTGCTCCTCCTACTTCACTTCGAGTGACTGTGTAGTACCATTAGTTTCCACACTTATAATGTCGCTCATATTCAATTACCTGGTGAATGAATTTCTTAACTTATCCATTATTATCAACAAAACTCAGACCGACAGGTAGTAACTTTATTCACTAATGCCGTTTCGAGTTTTGATCGTCCCTAGTTTACTACATATTATGTAACGATTGGCATTTCATTCTGTCGTACCTTAGTATTTCCCTAATTTTAGTAGTTGGGCAAGTCCCGTACTTATTGTAGCGTGAGCTCTGTAATTCCATTCTATTTATAGCAGATATCATTCACTAATTCTCCAAAGCTTATAGTAGTGTATTCTATTGAACAAATGTAGAATATTAGTCCTATATTTCGAGTTTTTAACTAATTTGTAAAGATAATTTCATCTCAATAGCATTTTATTCTTATATTTTCGATTTTCGATGCATTTATGAGTTTATTTACTCGTATAATGGCTATACTGCTTAAAGTGTTCATATAAAAATTGTAAAGTCAGTAGGAGACCGACCCTCTCTGTGTTGCAACCTACTCGAACTTTTGGCACACCTATTATCCAAGTGTACATATAATGAATTTTCTCCTTGTAGTGTGTTCCAAAGAGGTGCTAGGAAATTGTACCTGCCTGTTTCAAGTTACTTAACGAACATGTCAATTGTGAACACTCAGATCCACTGGCACTGTGATACCCAAAATTTATAGCCTACCAAAAGTACATAGAAGTATTTAACCACTTCACCTAGTCCTAGATATGGTTAGTTCAGCCTACCATATGTCAGCGATGTGACTGCTAGAACTTCGAGAGTTACTACATAAAAGAATTCGTAGAGCAGTGTAAACTACAATTTTGAATTTATCAACAAAATTGGAGAGCAAATCATAAATTTATGGTACCACATGATGTATCATCTTTACTCATGAATGTGCCAGAAAAATTGGTTGACTTCATATGTAATGAATATGCATTTTTTGTTCAACAGGAAGTTCTATAGACAATATGACAGTGCTATTAATTGATCACTATTAGGCCTAATCCAAAATTATATATATATATATATATATATATATATATATATATATATATATATATATATATATATATATATATATATATATATATATATATATATATATATAGGGAGAGAGAGCGAGCGAGAAAGATCGTCCCTCTTTAAAAGTACCGCTCTAAATTGATTCATAATATTGTTGATGTCCTAACATATATTATCCATACATTATTGGCATCTGGGAATAATTATTGTCCTTGTTCCCGTAAAAAAAAACAAATTTATCACTTAAATTTGATATTATTTTATTTACGAGTATTTATTTTTCTGCCTTTTTAGTATGTGACCAATTCAATTTACTTGCTATACGTATACTTCCATTTGATGGTGCCGTTGTTGGTAACAATAGCCAACTTTTACGATTAACTGCACATCCTTCATCGAATGATTTAAAAGATGCATTAGAAAAATGGCGATACAATCGTGATTCTCTTACAATTCGTCTTGTTGGAGATTATCTAATCGGTTCAGTTATCAAGGCTAGTAGATTGACAATTAATCAAGCATGTTCCATTATTACTGTTGTGGATGCGGAAGAATAGACCAATAATTATCATGTTAAGTCCAGTGGTGTCCTTGGACTTTAAATGTACATTTCCTATTGGTCGATATCTGTTCACTTGTTGAATATTGTACAAAATGTTGTTTTCTATTTTTATGGTACGCTGTGGTATGCTTGACTAGTATATAAACAAAGTATGTTTGAAATATAGTGATTCATATCTCCGAGGCTGTGACCTTTGTTCTCCACTCAACTGGCTAGGACAGACAGCGGGGCAGGGCCAATCAGGGCACTAGGTCGTTCATACGTGTTTTACGCGTCACTCTACCGAGTCGATCAATAAACGCTGCTTATCAAGACCTGCTGTCACAACGTAAAGTCATAACAATTGGCGACGGGGTGGAGAAAAATTTTGAACCTTGTAATTGGACGAGATTCAGGTTAATTGTTTCGACCAATCAGCATCCAGATTGTCACCAGCGTCCTTGAGCAACATTGGTCATTATTCCTACAGTTAATTTTCATTGCAGGTGCTGAAAAAAAAATGACTACCTTTTCCGATCGATTACAGCTTCTACTTGAGCAACAACAGCAGTGCTTCAAAAATAGCCAGTTAAATTTTTTAGAAAATTTACGCACACTGTTGGTAAATGTTCCATGTTTCGGAGGTGCAACAGAAGTTGGTAAATTCATTTCTCATCTGCAGACTGAGCTGGAAAACAACTGCAGAACATATGAAGCTGTTTATAAAAGCCTCTGTGAATCCCGGACGACCAGTGATGTAAACGAGACAGTTATTCATGGTCCGCCCAGTTGTCCAGAAATGTCAAATTCCGAAACGTTCCCTGTCGTGGGTTCAAATCCCACTGTTCCTGAAACGTGTACAGACAGTGATGTACCCAGCTCACAGGAGGATCTCTTATTAAATGCTCATAAATTAATTGCAGTACCCGCCCACAACGGAACAGGGAACAAATCGTGCGGTACACTGAATCCAGCTGTTTCAAATGGTCCTCATCATTCAACAACAGGAGATTCTGACGAATCTTATTATCTAGATCTTTTTGTACCAGAAAATGTGTTAAATGCATTAAATGATGATCAGAAATCTAATACAATTTTGATAGATGTTGATTATCGCAGTGATCAACTGTTTACAAATGAGATTTTCAACAAATCCCGTGACAATGTTCCAGAAGAATCAAACGTTGGTGACCTCATATCAAGCGACATTGTTCCCCACTATTTAATCACTTTCAGTGACTCCCCTGTTCAATCTGACAATTATGTGTTAAATAAAGTCAAATTAATTCTAACTTGGGAATATGAGGACCCAACATTATTTCGTGGGGGAGGATGAACCCAGAAAATTTCAAAATCCGGATATCAACTCCGGATCTTCAAAAAAAAGGGGAGGTGTTGTGGATGCGGAAGAATAGACCAATAATTATCATGTTAAGTCCAATGGTGTCCTTGGACTTTAAATGTACATTTCCTATTGGTCGATATCTGTTCACTTGTTGAATATTGTACAAAATGTTGTTTTCTATTTTTATGGTACGCTGTGGTATGCTTGACTAGTATATAAACAAAGTATGTTTGAAATATAGTGATTCATATCTCAGAGGGTGTGACTTGTGTTCTGGACTCAACTAACTGGGCTAGACAGGGAAGCGAGACCAATAGAGACTCTAGGCCGTCCGTACGTGTTTTCCGTGTCACTGTACTGCGATCGATCAATAAATACGCTGCTTATCAAACCCTGCAGTCTCACAACTTAAATTCATAACAATTACGAATCATTTCACTACTACTATTCTTTCTAAAAATGTCACAGGTATGATTATTGTTATAAATGAAATTGCGATGTTCTAACCTAAAAATTGCGTCCATCGGTACTCTTGTAACAAGATAGCCAACTGTTATGTCTGGGGAGTCGTCGCTGTTGCATTACGTTGCAATTGTTTATACTTAATGGCATCATATAGTGGGGGGGGGGAAGGAGTAGTACATATAGTTACTGTAAAAGCACACATACTAAATATAATTCATCTGAATTAATGCAGGAAATAAATTTGTCACAATGAATGAGTGTTCACACTTTTCATATAAACACAAAGTTTATACTGAATTGTGAATCAAGAAAATATTTGAACCTCAAAATGTTACACTGAACAAAGTTTGCGCCTATCACCGTGGCCGAATTTCTCAATGAATTAATATATAAAATATTGACTGAAATAATATCATCCGTTTATCTCTTTTAATATCAGTTGTAGTGACTAGTTTGTATGCTTTCAATGAGCTAATTTTGTTTTGTTACTTTTTCTAGATTCAAATGAATGGATTTATTTTGTATACAGTCTATTAATGAAATTACCATACAGTCTATTAGGTTTGGTATTCTCTTTAGTAAGTTTCTAAAATGTTCATATTTTATGCCAGTCTGTTTTACTTACTATGTTTATCATTACAAGTGTGTTAGATAATTACCACAGATAGGATATATTCTGTAAATTTTGATGATGGATATATTATAAGTGTAGTTGATATGTGTTCAAACGAGGTCTTATTTTAGCTGTGTTTTTGGCTCATTAGGTATTTTTCTTAGAAGTAAACCATAAAATTTTGATGATTTCTATCCATTTTAGTTTATCAGTTTTAGTGAATGATGACTGGTTTAATGATGTCTTTAAGGCTTTAGCTTGTATATTGTCGAACCACTGAATACGTAGTGGTAAAGTAGGCTTAGAGTACTGGTTCAGTTTTATAAATAGGTTGATATAGCTGTTAAAACTCACTGACAAATATACTTGGTTTGTGTGCTTTCTATATCCGATCACCATCTACCTCGATTTACTTATTCATTTGAACACATAAATATTGGTACAAATGATCACCGAATACATATGCGCCACACAAATCATTGAATTTATATATGGGCTGAGATACTGTCTGTGTGAAAACCGAAACATATGGGGCCACACCCGGAGCCTTCGATCTAAAGGTCTAGTCCACAAAGCAGTGGAGCAGTGTCAGGAGATTCAGTCCTATGGTAACCGGTGACCAACAGTGGGTTCATACGCTGTTTGTTCTTTCAGGATCCTGGAGCCCATGTGTGCCATTGGTTTTGAATCAAGGTTTTCCAACTCCTCTAGGTGAACTCTCTTTGTTCATTAACCCAGTTAACGTGCTAGAAATTTAATTTTCGTCCTCTCAATTTTGTAAACAACACGCCCGCCATGACAAGGCAGTGAATAGGACTTCCCTGATAGTGGCTGTATACGCGTGGCCATGTGAGAGTATTTCGCAAGGGAGAGCGGACTATCCCCACCCTCGGTCGTACCAGGTCATTTGGGGGTCTATATTGTCCTGCTATACGAATAAATTTACAAAAGCCTAATTAGTGAGATGACGGTGAAACACAGGATCATATGATAAGGTCATTGACTATTGATACGAGCTCAATTTAAATTAGATGCCTTCTCTCTTTATCTTTTATTCACTGTTTTATTGTAAAATTTTCATTTTGAACCAGTACAAAAGTTATTATCAGATTCCATATTATTGACGACCGACCATCAAACTAGTGAACTCAACTAATACAACTGGTAAATACAAATTTATCATCTTAACATTATCGAATAGTAAATACACAGTGTATTGTCACAGAATAATCGACAATAACTTCCTATTGAATATCATTCAATTTCTTAAAATTTATTTAATATTTCAGATTATTATTCCAAGTTTAGAATCAGCAGGAATTCGATGTTCTACATCATGGCCATTAGATAAATCTGATATATCACTCATAAATAATAATGTTTCATCTATCAATTATAGTCTTTTACATATCTTCTTCCATGATGAACTTCTTTCTTTGAATACATCCATTGATGAGAATAATTCACAATTGAATCGAATTTATTTAATTTCTGCTATTGGTAGTATTGGTTATCAATTAAAATGGCCTGCTTACATTAAATATTTGAAGAAAATCGTTTTAAATTAATTGATAACCCAACTACTGTTACTATGATGTATATTGATCAAATGAAAAACATTGATATGAATTGTCAATTATCAACAATTAGTATTTTACCTTCATCTTTATCTGAGACCCAATTCATATCTGAAAATGCTGATAATAATGATAATAATCAAGTATCGACTTGTTCAAAATTAATGGAGAATAATGAAGTAAGTTGAAATTAAATATGAAAATGTGACAATATCTCAATGGGTAGAAAAGAAACCCCAGATTTTCTGATGTTTCGTGACTTCAGGGAATAAATAACCACATTCAGAAAATCTATTTTTTCTACCCATTGGGATATTAAAAATATATTATTTATTTATAGCAATCTACCTGTTGGATCTATCGAAGCGTCCAAGTCACCCGATTGAGATACGCGCAAAACCGAAGTTTCCAAAACAACTATTTGTCTACAATAGCGGTTTTTTATTGAATAATACACAAAATTTAGTTACAAACCTCAACTTGTGGGGTGTCTGGGGCGTTTAAACGCGTGCTTCAAGTATGAAATAAAAGGCTTCCTGTAACAGTAGCATAAAGAATAATTACAACATACGATAGTACAAAGGACAGCTAATAGCTGTGTCTAAATTCGATAACAGTTTATGAACAAAGGAAACCCGAACCAAGAGCAAAACAATATGGAAACTGTTACATTTAAACAAATGCACAAAACTGTGGATAACCGCTACAGTGATTAAGGTACAGTAATTACAATGATAAGTACAATAAACGTTATAAGTATATGTGAACATTTCAGAATATTACAACTTGCGCTACAACTTAAGTTTAAAAATGTTTGGAATACAACTGTTTACTGAATGTAAATAAGTAGTATAAAACAATATACAAATGAATGGAAAGGGGGCGAGTAGGAACAATGTAAGACAAACTTAACACTACCCAATGCTCAATTTATTCGAAATCGTCAAATCAAACCTTAGTAATGATAGCCTATGAAAATGTGACTTTCGATTTTTGCGAATTTTTGTTGCTGTTGTTGTTATCTATCAGTATAGGATATCTATAGTCTTGTGGAAACTGGTCCTCTTTAATGGATTCAAACTTGGGTGGTTGCGTTTCTCAGTATGAGATTTTACTACTGAACTACTTGGACTATGATTATCGTACAGAACTAAGATATTTATATTGATTAATCACAGTAATTTTACTGTGATTGGATAGAATTGATTCTACATTCTACTTAGTCAAAAAAATAGTTTATTATTTTTCTGGATAATACTATCGAAAAATTTAGTATATTAGAAAGAATTGCTGTAGGAAATGAAAGTTTATTAACCATTAAAAAAACCTAATCTCCAAACCATACCAACGGTAGTGAAGGATACTAACCAATTACGTGAAAAATTTAAACCTCACTAGTTAGAATAAGCAATACAATCACGATCTTAAACTTCCTGAATGCAATCCTGAATGGGGTTCGAGTAGTGTGCGGAATAATACTATGGGCTTCTGAAACACGATATAGTATCAGTTCATGGTGTCATATACGTTTGATCTAAGCTATATGTTAGTAGGTGCAGGTTGATTATCTGGTTTGGATCGACATGATAATTGAGATTTGTGATTGAAGTTGGATGTTGATATTGTTGAAAACTGATCTCGAATAAACCTTATCTTCATAGCTGTTAACTCACTATGTTAAACTCTAGCTTAGTAGTCAGAACAGTTAATTTTCAGTCGTCGGGTTCAAGTTTCGAGGCACATTCTACATAATTTATCCTAGTCAGATGGCGAACTTAATTGGCATGAGAGTTTTTTGTAACAAGGGGACTAACATACTCTTTATTATGTTTGATTCTGTAAACACGACCTGAAAGTAATATTACTCGTATATTTTCTTGCATCAAATAAAAGCCACAGTAAGATCGAGCTATTAGTCTAGCCACATTAGAATAGCATATTTATAAGCATCAAGGAGTTATATACTTTTAAATTTTTAAATTCAACCTTTAAAAAATCGTATTATGTAGGATATTGCAACCAATGTATCCATTCAAAGTAACGATGTCAATACGAACGCCAGTGATATTTGCAAGTCTACAATTCACTTGGATAAAAACATGACAATAGCTGATTCTAAAAATCTATCATCTGATCGCCATCAATTTATCGAAGAGATTAGACGCCGAGAATTTGGTGTCGGTGTTGAATTAAGTGAAGAAGCAACTGATCTAATTCAGGTTAGTTACAATTTAATGGTCTTTCTTTAGAAATAAAGTATAGACTATGACTATTACCATTTTCACCTAAAAGTCACAGAAACGCTTATTGTTTTGTAATAGATACATAATATAATCCAACTTTTCATTTTACTATTCGATAACGTGTGCATTTTTCTTCCTGTTTTGTTAGTTTCACTGGTTTAATACAACTCATTTTTTACTGTAAATTGAAGCAACACATATAAACGAACAGTATTGTTTGCAACAAGATCTCATGTACAATAATGTAATTATATTGCTTACTTACTTACCTCTTATCGAGGAGTATAGGTCATCCACAAAAATTGTCCATAGAAGTATGTCCTGGACAATCCTTTCCGACTGTTTTCAGTTGCTATTCATGCTTTTCGTGTCTGCTTCCGATTCTCAACTCAATGTGTCCCTTGGCCTTCCTCTTATCGTTATCCCTTCAGGATTCCAGTTTAGGGCCTGCCCCCCCGGGGCAGTTTGGTGATTTCCGTAATGTATGTCTTATCCACTTACAACGTCTTTTCCTAATTTCCTCCTCAGCTGGAAGCTGGTTTGTTCTCTCCCACAGTAGGCTGTTGCTGATGGTATCCGGTCAACGGACATTGAGTATCTTATGTAAACAATTGTTTGTGTTTTGAGGATGACTGTGGTCGTTCTCCATGTTTCAGCTCCATACAGTAGGACTGTCTCGACGTATTGAAGATTGTGACTTTGATGTTGGTTGATAGTTGTTTTGAGTTCCATATGTTCTTCAACTATAGGAGTGCTGCCTTTTCTTTGCCGATCCTTGCCTTTACATCTACATCAAATCCTCCTTGTTTATTGATGATACTACTTAGATACGTCAGTCTTTCATCCGGTTAAGTAGAACTCTGTTGAAAACTTTTCCTGGTACCGATAGTAGTATGTTACCTCTGTATTTCTCACACTTGCTTTGTTTGAAGGATGCTCTGATGATTTTGGATCTGGGAGATTCTCATCCTATAAGTGCTTTTCGTGCTTCTTTGGATAGTACCAGTGCAACTCTTTGTGTGTGCAGAGATCTAACCCCATAAGGAAAAGTAGAAGGTACACGATAAATTACTCTAACTGGTTATTTCTGTCTATTAAACAACCGCTATCAGTTAAGTGTGATAGAACGGTGCTGCGTATTGTTCTGAAAATACCCTTTCCCAATCATGAAAGAAGGTATTCACTAACTTGTTAGCTCAATTTCCTGTTGTGCACCCAATATAGCTTTCTCCACAGAAGCAGCTGAATTCGTAGATACACATGGATGTGGTATGTTTAGGTAGCTTGTTTTATAGTCGTAGATTCTTCATAGATCAGTCAGAAAATGATAGACGGAGGTTAGTTGCCTAATAGGTTTTCTCCATACATTACACTAGGTTAATAATGTTATTTCGGCTGGGGATCTTGATCAGCGTCGAAGTAGGCTGTATAAAAGTTAGGGATAACCAAACCAAGATATTGCTTCGGTTCATGAAGTCATTAACGATTGGTCTGAATAGTGTTGGGAGGTACAAACTACATGATTGGGGTCTGCTTTAGCGACCATTATCAATAGTTGGAAATATTGCATAATATAGTTAAAATCAGTTACTGTGGTATTCTTTTTAATGATTTCATCTCACTGTTCCTGTGTGCTGTGAGTTGTTGATGGAGATATGTGTATCGTTGTGTGTTGCTTGTAATTATTATCTGACTAACCATTACATGAGGAAAGACAAAATTTTAATAACATTTTAAAATCATGACGTATTTTATATATAATTTTAACTGAATAGAATTGTCATATGTGTGAAATATGAAATATATCCGTAATGTGTAACTTAGATGTGATATCATCTATATTAGTTTAGCCAGGAGTGGACAGTTAACTGTTAAAGCCTGCTACCTAAACAACATCTCCCACAGCCCCGTAGTTTATTTATTTATTTAAACACATAGATATTGGTACAAGGGGGCACCAGATACATATGCGCCACACAAATCTCATTTGATATTTGCGAGGGCTGTGATACTGCCCGGGTTCCCAAATCGAAGCAGGTGGTTTTCTTAGGAGGCCACACTCGGAGCCTTTGACCTACAGGTCTAATCCACAAGGCAGTGGAGCAATGTCAGGAGATGAAGTCCCATGGTAGCCGGTGACCAACAGTGGGTTCATACGCTGTTTATTCTTTCAGGATCCTGGAGTCCATGTACACCATCGGTTTTAAATCAACGTTTTTCAACTCCCTTAGGTGGATTCTTCATGTCCACCAACCCGGTTAAAGCACCGGACATTCACTTTTCGTCCTCTCAATTTCGTAAAGAAAGCGTCCGCTACAGAAGGCAGTGAGTAGGACTTCCCTGATAGTGGCTGTATACGCGTAGCCATGTGAGAGTATTTCGAGAGGGAGAGTACCAGGACATTTGAGGGCCTATACATATATATACAGTGTAATATGTGAATCAAAACAGCATTGTATGTTTTATTTTAAAATTAATAAGTCGTCTTATTATCATGTTGACTAAAAGTTTTTAAATAATTTTATTATTAAATAACTTTTACCTCTTATCTTTTAATTCAAGAGAGTTGAAGGAAAATTATCACGTAGTCTTGTACAATTATCTGAAGAACTCTATGGTCTACCTGGACATTTTCTTCTAGAACTAATACAAAATGCTGATGATAATACCTATGGGATAAATGATGTTCCTACATTACAACTTCAATTATCCACCATTTCTAGAATTAATAATGAGTGTAATAGTAATACTAATGATCAAAAATTCTCTTTACTTGTTATGAATAATGAATCTGTTGGATTTACTGAACATGATATGTCTGCATTATGTGATATTGGTCAAAGTACTAAAGTGACTCAACGTGATGCAAAAATAGGTTGGTTTATTCGCAAAATTTCAGTCTATTCTTCTTTATATTTTAAAACAAAAATGTTTATGATTCTGAGAGAATCTATATAATCCTAATGTATCATTATTGTTCAATAGAGTAATGTAAAGTCAAATAACTTAAGTGTAAGGCTTGGACAGTTCTTATTTCTTACTGTTCCATCACATATTATACACAGTTGTTTAGGTGTTTAGAGACAAGTGGTATAAAGTCCTGTCGGACTCAGTTTTCATTCTACATGTTCTACGTCTCCAGGGCTTGGCTGTAGTTTTGAGTGAACTGATCCTCACAGTGGGATTCGAACCCTTGTTAAAGTTGGAGACATTGCTACCGATCTATTTTGATACTGGTTGACCCCTTGTAGGATTAAGATATTTACATGGATTTATCACTCAATAGTAGTGGTGGGTAATGTCATGTTTGTCTAGTCAGTCGCTAGTGGTGATCATCGACCAAATTGCAAGGTAATCACTAGTCCAAATGACTGGTAGTCGTATACACGGTATTTCAGTTAAGGCGATTCCCCACCTATCACCTCCAACCAACTACTTAACATCAAAATATATCTCACACAATGTCGAGTCACTCAGACTAGTGTCTAAATTACAGTTCTGTCGATTGATTCCGCTATATTTACATAATCATTTGTTCACGTATTAATGTGCTGTTCAAATAAAATGTTCCATTTTCTGCTTATTATCAGGACGTAAGGGAATCGGTTTCAAATCAGTCTTCAATATTACAGATACACCGGAAGTTCATTCTAACGGTTTTCATGTTCGCTTTCATCGACAATCGAAATGTACAAAGTACACTTCACAAACTCCGCCATCATTAATACTCATACCTGAATGGTGTGATAATGAGCAATTGATGAGATCTCAAAATCATTCTAATGAAATACCATCATGGTGTAAAACTTTATTTATTCTTCCGTTGAATTCTGAAACATTAATTAATCGTTCAACAAGAGTAGTTCAATCACCCGCTCTCTATATTACTCAGCTCGTTCAAACAACACTGCATCCTAGCTTAATGCTATTTCTTAGACGTTTACAGTGTCTTCGATTCTCCTTTATGGAAGTAGGTTGATTTCCTATTTTTTTCGATTATATATTATAGACAAATAATTATCGAGTAATTGTGGTGTGTGTGTGTTTATTAATTTGAGACGATCTATTAGAAACTACAGATCTAGATTTCATGATATCTTAGATTCATTTCTCTGCATTATATCAGTCAATCAGTTACAATTAACATAGAGCCTGGCACAAATGTACATCAACTCGAGTTGCCACGATATCGTACTAGCATAGATCAATGAAGAGCAAAGGAGTCTAATCATTCATGGCACCAATGCTAGTAGGAAAGAGTAAATGTTCTACGTCTTGTATTTGCCACCATTAGTTTTCTTCTATGATAGAGAGAAAGGGAGAGGAGAAAAATGAATCCTTACTATGCTTTCATTGTTACCATAGGGGTTTAGGAGTATCTGTATTATATCAGCAATTTCACCAAATAAGATATATCATCTGCATACTCCAAGTTGGTTAGTGAGTTTCCAGGGAGGAGATCAAACTCTTAAAAGATAGGCGAAGTGTTACTTCTAGGTGAAGTTAAACAAAATGGAAGACAATGGATAGCCCTTAAAACGATCTCTGAGGTCGATAATTCCTCTACGGAAGGAATTCGTGTTTACTTTAAAATACCAACTGGAATCACATACGACTGTGCAAATCGCTTAATGATCTAGATTGTTACTGATATCTGACACCGATTAGTACATTATAAGATTGGATTCACCAACTTCATGATCACACCATAAGCTTGATAAGAAAAAACCCCATTAGCTCTGTAAAAGTTAGTTACTACTGTAGTGAACGCTACTCACAACGTTGTTTCCAAGTAGTAACTCTCAGAACGTGGCATCGAAGTTACATCAGTTGTCGGAACGAGTGAAAAGCTGCATTACAGCGAAAGTACGCCGTTGGTAGAACACATGGAGACCAAACGAGAAGACAGTTCGAATTTCAGAACATACCGAAAAATGCACGTGGATGGTTGAAGACTATGTGTATGTGTTATGTAAATTCTTTGTAACTTATCATAATGAAATTCATGACCTTAAGATCACGCGATTTGTTAGCTTTATTTTTGAAGTCCCTATATGCCCTTGTCATGGATGATAGTGGGAAGAGACTATCCTCCTTCTTGAAATGCTTCACATGACCACGCGTATACAGCCACCACCAGGGAAGTCTTACTCACTGCCTTCTCGTAGCGGGTGTGTTCTTTACGAAATTGAGAGGACGAAAAGCAAATGTCCGAAGCTGTAACCGGGTTGGTGGACACGAAGGATCTACCTAGGGGAGCTGGAAAACCTCGATTACAAATCAATGGTGCACATGAACTCCAGGACCTTATAGAAACAACCGATTGTGGTCACCGGCTACCATCGCTCCACTGATTTGTAGATGAAACCTCTAGGTCAAAGGTTCGGGGAATATATGTATATGTTGATGGTTATTAACTGAGTTCTAAAGAAAATAAATCAAGTAACTGATTGATTTGAAACCATTGAATTATCAAACTTCATTCTCATATATACAATTAAATAATATAACATTTAATGCATAAATTCATTCGAAGCTTTAGGTGATGCTTACATTATGCTAATTCAATATTTATAAACATGAAATTTATTTAAATAAGAATTTTCGTCTAAATTTGATCGAATAGTTTCACAGTATTTGGGCGCCGAGTTGATGTGAAACATTGAAGAGGAGGAAGATTGCTGTATTTGTGAAAATCTCAGCGAATGAATTGGAAGTAAATCCAATGTTTTCTCTGGGAATCTGATCCAAGGTTCCTCAAGGAAATATAATCAAATTATCGATAACTTCGATGTTTGATTCTATATTTGTTATGTCCCGATAAGCATAATGAATGGTAACTTTTGGGATCAGTTTATGGATCCATACTATGCGTACATTTTTATCGTCTAATTGTTAAATAACTAAACTATGAATATTCATGTCCTCTTATTCTGAGCTTCATGTTGACCCATGAACTATTATTATACGATTTACCGTTCTTGAGTTATGCTCAGTCTATCAATTACTACCTCCCACATTCACAGTCACATTTGGTTAATTCTTGTACAAATGTTGTTTCCTATTTTATGGTACAATGTGGTCTATCTGGTTGGTATATAAACTCAGTATGTTTAAAATAAATGATTGATATTGCAGAGTCTGAGATTGGTTTCTTAGACTTAACAGTCAGGGCTAGGCAGGAAGCAGGACCAATAAGGACTCTAGACTGCTCGTACGGGTCTTATGCGTCATTGGTCCGATCGATAATTCACTACTCTCTAGTTGGCGGTATCGTTACGTTATACATTAACAGGGCACATAGGTCACAAGTTATAACAATATTTCCTTGATAAAGCTTGAACCAGGCGAAACGTTGGACTGACTTCAAATTCATTCGCTGAGATTTTCACAAATACAACATTCTTCCTCATTCATGAAATTTATTTATTTTCTTGTAATGATCTTTTTTGATTAACCGAAAAATGGTAGTTTGATGATTGTTCCTTTCTTCTCTTTTTCATTTTTTTTTCTTTTAAGTCAAATATTTATTGGAGTGTAAAACGTACCATAAAAACATTATCATCATCTATATCAGGAAAAACTCAATATATTACTGAAATGATAACAGTTCATGAAACTCAATGTAATCTATCATCAGATGGTGAAACCAATACAATATATAAATGGTTTTGTTTTAAAGAAATAATTCCTGTTGACTATAAAGAGCCGAATAAAGTTAGTTCATAGTTTTGATTATAATAATAACCATAATCAATTTGTTAATCAAAATCAAAGTATTTTATGATATAAAAGTTGATTTTCTATATCATATCATGGTAAAAAGGATAATGAAAAAGGGTGAGCATTGATAATACATTTCAAGAAGATGGACTGAATAAAAAAATGTATTTTATGAGCGATACTGAACCTCATGATCTTACTTACTTAGTAGTTCTGTTACCACTCATCGAAGAGCAGAATACCATCCACTAGGATCCTTCATGGAACTGTGTCCTGGGCAATCCTTTCCAGTTGTTTACAATCGCTATTGATGATTTCGATGTTTGCTTCCAACTCACGACTTAATGTGTCCCTTTATCTCCTCTTTCTTTCTCCTTGAGGATTCCAAGTTATAGCTTACCTCGTGATGCAATTTGGTGTTTTCCTCAATGTATGTTCTATCAACCTGCAGCGTTTTTTCCCAATTTCCACTTCCTCTGTATGTTGGTTTGTTCTCTCCCGCAGTGAGCTGTTGCTGATGGTATCCGGTCAACGGACATTGAGTATCTTGCGTAGGCAATTGTTACTGCCGGTCACAAGCCCTGGCGAAGGAGGAGGGTTAGGCATATGGGGTCAGCAACCCCATCCTTCAGTAAACAACTTTGCTAAAATGCTCTAACCAAAAAAAAACAGTTTAATTATAGTTTAATACTTTTAATATATGGAAGAATAATTGAAAAGAATTTAGAAGTTTTAGAACTGTTCTACAAAGAATTATTATTGTATGGTCATTATTTAGTGTATGATATTTCTTATATTGCTCTGATTAGGCAGAATATGCATCCATGATCTTGTGTTTCATCTACTTTTGAATTTTTTATATACGTTTAATATCTAGAATTTTCCTGTTCATTTATAATGAGTGAATACTGCATATAAGTGGATGATTTTTATTGAAGATTTTATTCCAAGTCATCAATTTCATTTTATTTGCTTTTTACATCTGACTAGTTGGTGTGCGCTACAGTGTTCTATTCATGATGATGATGGTGAAAATGAAGTTCTCAACTAAAACATTACATTTTTAAGTACAATACGGGCACATTAAATGAATGTTAAAAATGCTTGAAACTGTTAGAGATCACACTTTTTTGAACACTGAAAGAAAGATGATTATCTTCACATGTTTGGTGATAAGCTTTAGTTAAGTCGTTAATTATTGATGTTGTGATATCACTTACTTACTATCTTATACAGAGGGGGTTGTCTTGAAACTAGTTTACAGCTTTACTATGTTAAGGTTACTTAGTACAACTGAAACAGGTTAGTTCGATTTTGTGACTGAATGTCCATGACGGTAGTGATAAGAGAACAGTTCTATCGCTGATAAATTATGATCTAATTATTTGGGTTTGGGAAGCCAAAAAGATAAGATAACTATATTGGGAAAATGTGTATACTATTTATCCGATTATTTTAACTCGAAAATATAAACTAATAAATATATGACTAGTGGGAACACAACAACAGCAACCTACTGTGGTATAAAATAAACCAGCTTTCAACTGAAGAGTGAATTAGGAAAAAAACAATGGAATTGGTTAAGACACATTACGAAAATCACCAAATTACATCACGAAGTAAACCCTAACTTAGAATCCTCAAGGCGAAAGGAACAGAATAATGCCAAGGAAGCAGACGTGAAATAAAATGAATAGCAATCGGAAACAACTGGAAACGATTGCTTAGGACAGATTTCGATGGAGAATGCTGGTGGGCGGCGTATACTCCTCCAACAGAGGTAACAGGCGTAAGTAAGTAAGTAAGTAAAAAACACAACGTTCGAAGAATCATACAATCATATTCAAGCTAGGACATTGGAATAAGAAAAATTGGGATACAAGGAACCGTATTTAAATTACAGCGATTTCAGAATGACACTGAATATGACAGTAATTTGTAAATTAATTGTAAACTAAATGTTTTTAGTAATTTATAGATTACCGATTAGGCGTAGCAATGTCCCGGTAGCTAGTTATCATTGTTTGTAATCTGTTCTTCATTCTTCCTTTCTTGGCAGTTGATTTATTTCTCACTGTTTGTAAATTACCGTTAATTAGTTATTCATCAATTATTCAGTTTTGTATTATAAATGACGTTGTTTCCTATTAATAGTGCATGATACTCATATAATTGATGCATATTATCATTTGAGTTTTTGAGTCAATATATGGAAAAGAATAGAGAATAATTCGTCTGACTGTTTTTGTATCCTACTCGATCGTTTATGATAGAGGGGGCTACGGTTGACTAATCCGTATTAAGGGATTCAGTCTTCGTTGTTGTTAAGTTTCAATATTCTTGGTTAGAAGCCGAAGATACTATCTATGGACTATCCAGTTTAGTTTAATGGTCCGATTATGTGTGCATATAGAGAGGTTGAGTCTATAACGAATTATCAAATAACACTTACATTTCATACGCCTTTCATTTTCAATTTCGACAACCTATTTGTTTTTCATATCTTCCTACTACAAATATGACAAATGATCAATGTAATTTTTTCTTTCCAAACAATTTATAACAGAATCTTCCATCACAGACAGAAATATCATTGGCTATTTCATTGAATGATTCAGATAATCTACAACCATGTCCTATATTTTCTTATTTACCAATACGTAGTGTTGGGTTCCGATTTTTTATAAATGGTAAGTTGTCTTGTATTTATTCTGAAGAAAAACATTGTAACTAACACCTATTACTGGTGCTTCGACGGTTAGTGAAATAGTAATTCGGTGGTCGGTGTATTCGACTTTCAACCATGAAGTTACTGACTTCAAGCTAATCTCACCTACTTCAGTTTGAGATAATTAGTAGTATCACTAGAATGAGGGTTAGAACCAAGTACACAAATTTATATTTGTCAGTGAGATGAAGTTAGCGAAGTTATATACTTACTGTAGAAAGATTAATATTCGGAAAACATTTCACTTCGATTATTGATTTTATCCAAGAAAGCATCATTATCCATGTGTCATGCTATTATGAAATAAGGAATAACGTAGCTATGTTCTGTGTATTAACTGTGAAAAAAACATTCACACGTTTATTATCTAGTGTAGGCATAGATTGGTAGAAACTTGGAGAGAGTGGCCATACCGAAATATAGCACTGGTACATGTAGTCACTAACTGTTTGTCTAAACCATGTTGATCGAATCAGACTACTTGATTAGGCTTCACATCACAACCGTATCCAATTCGTTTAAACAGTCATATCATGGAAATGATGTAACAAAAGAAATAACGTCTTACATTTTATTGTTATTGGAGTTGTATTAATTTTTCATGTTGTGTTATATATGCTTCTGCCAAAAATACTAATTGATTATAATAATACAAGTTGAATATTTGTTGTTTTCTTCTCTTTGTAATTAATTGCTTTAGCTGATTTCGATTTAACTTCTTCACGTGAAGACGTTGATTCAACAAGTGCTTGGAATCGTTGGCTTGTAGGCAAAATACCAAATATCTTTTCTGATATGATTGAATGTATTGGAAAGGTAAACCGATTTCCTTCTTTTATTATTATTATTATTTATGAGCACTAAGCAATTATTTCGTCCTTCTATTGAGACTCATCAGCTGTAATCATCCATTCACATATTTGACGTTGTGTAAATTATCTTCCAGGAAATTCTGATTCGATGACCCAATGTTTACTTACCTTTGAATTCAATACTGTCTGAGGTTGTTGATATACACAGTTAAGGATTATGCTTTGATAATTATAAGTGTCGTTATTAATATTAATGGCTTTATTCAATATTATATGTTCAGTAAAATATTGAATTTTGCGCACACGATATTTCAACAGGTTTCTTCTAAAAAAAACGATAACTGCATACGTATATGCATAAATTAAGTAAATCAACTATTTAGAATTCAATGAAATGGCTTTTATAAGATTAGGATCTATAAGTAAGGATTGGCAAAGCAAGGACAGCATTCCCTCGATTGAAGAACATATGGAACTCAAAACAACTTTTAACTAATGTCAACGTCAGAATCTTCAATACGAATGTCAAGGCAGTCCTACCGTATGAAGATGAAACGTGGAGAACTACCACAGCCATCATCAAGAAGGTACAACCATTTATAAATAGCTGTCTACGCAAGATACTCAACATCCATTGACCGGATACCATTAGCAATATCCTTCTGTGGGAGAGAAAAAACCAGCTTCCAGCTGAAGAGGAAATTTGGAAAAGACGATGGAAATGGATAGGGCGTATATTACGCAAATCGTCAAACTGCATCACGAGGCAAGCCCTAACTTGGAATCCTGAAGGGATGAGGAAAAGAGGAAGGGCAAGGAATCTATGAATCGTAAGAGTAAATGTCGAGTAACTCTAAAAGCATGCAGCCTCTTTATGTAGTAAAACGGAAAAAAATTCTTCGATAACAATAAAACATGAGAAGACCTAGAGAGATCAGTATAGAAACCTACACCAAGATGAATGACCTTTGACACTGTTTTCATTAAAAAATCTCCAATAGTATAAGTTTTGTGGGATTCAAACAGGGTGTTTGGGAGCTGTTCATGTCTCAATCTAAAGTTAACAGGTTGATATTTAGAAGGATTAGGTGTGAGACCATTTACAACAGATCATCGTCCAATGAAAGACAAGAACTCACTCATTTCAAGATGTGAGGAGGTAGAAATTGACATGCATTCAGCAAATTCACCCACATACTTAACAAAGGTAACTTCTGTAGACGACTTCAGATCATGCAGAAACATGAGAAAAGAAGAGGGGAAAGAACAGCTCCATATGGCATGCCTTGTGACGTCGAACATTTTCTTCCAAATACAATGTACTGTTCACTTACAGAGAGGTAGTAACACAACCATCTAGTTATCCAGTTGTCGGTATTGACGCTGTCAAACTTGTTAAGTAGTAAATGGAACGACCGTCCAGTGCTTCCAGGTTTCCAATGGTGGTCTAGCTTTGATCGACTCGTGAATTCAACTGTTAAGATAATTGGATAGTTGAAGATAATCGTCAACAGACCCAGTTGATATAGATGTTGTATTGATCAATACTCATCAGGGTTTCTTGACTATCTAACGGTTTAGCATAGTGTGAAAAATGTCAAGTCACCTAAATTAAAATGACTACATTGCAACTTGGTTCATGAAATTCGATTAGTATTATAGGATCAGCACAAGTATGTCAATGCATAACACATGAAACGAATATTATACTGAACAATTATCATTCTGAATTGATTAATATTCTTAAGTGTAATTGTTTCTAATCAATTTGTTTTTTTACTCATTTTCTTCATTTCTGTCTATTGGTTATTTAGTTGCCAGAATCATGTTTTACAGTTGACTTGGATTCATCTCAGTCAAATGACAATTTGGGATATACACGCATTGAATTGATTGGGCGTATTATCTCTTGTCTTCCATATAATTTATCATTTTCACCATCAACGGCAGCCGGTTGTTTGACAAACCGTTCCATCACATCGTCATCATCATCAATCTCCACAACGATAACAAATGACAATGTGTTCTTCGGCTTACCAAATCAATTACGCGCTAAATTATCAAATCTTGCCTGGTTACCAGGTATTCAACGTACAGTTGATTGTTTGCCGAACATTGATTCGTGTAAATACGTGATTGCATCAAGGTTATTAGTTGTTCCGACATTATTATCCTCAACGTCATCTTCATCAATGTTGATTGAGAAAGAATTTAGCCATTCTTCCGAAGAGACAAACTCTGTAAGCAACGTAAAATTTAATTCAACTTATATCCGTTCAAAGTTTCTGCTCTCGCTTATACAGTTTTTTATGCATAGTTCGATGTTAAATTGCGTTCAATATTCAATCGGCAAATATTGGTAGTGAGAGCAGTATGGTGTTATACTACTTATGTTGACAGATATAACTGGTATGTAGCATCAATCAGAAGTGGAATGCCTGTCAAGAGGATAACTGACTACTAATTTCAATTTCAAAATATCAAAGACGCATTCAGGAACATTAATTCGACTTCTCGAAGCTTTTTGTTTTTAATCGCTGATCCTCAACGACATTCCAGTTTTCACTAGCGATACTCATTTATTTATTTATTTATTTATTTATTTGGACACATGAATATTGGTACAAGAGAGCGCCAATATATATGCGATGAACTCTTTAGCGATACTCATACGTTCTCCACTCTTAGCATTGTGTGTTTTAGTAAAAAATAATGTTTCTGAGAAGTGTATTTCTTTACTGAATGCTTGGAATAATGTCAGGTCACAACTAACTTGGTGATCACTTTCATAGTCTAGTGTTTTAATTCTATTCCGGCATATATCTTTGGAACGTAGATGTGGGAATATTGTATTTGGAATTGGCAATGGAATCTAAAAAATCTTTCTTTACGTAAACCAAAGATCCATCTCTTATTTGAATAAATTTTATCATAGAGTTGCAATTGCCTCTTCACTGTTCTAATATCCTTCGAATTTAGTTTGAATAGATGAAAGAATTGTATTTAACACTCAGAACCACCTCTACACTGTCGTTAGAGAAAAACTATAATTATAATTGAGTTTGTACTTGTTAGTTCTACAATTATATTATATGAACCTCTCTACTAATGATGGATATTTATTTAAGACTGCAACTGATCAATCTCTTGTCGGCACATGTACATCCTGTGCGGATAGCCTCGATATAGCCTTAAGTCACAAGCTTTTTAAGGAAAGATGGATAGTGACCAGTCACACCAAGTGAATCTTTACTAATGGTTCTGTAGACGATAATATCTTAGAAGGTTTCAAATAGAGCAATCTTTCAACTTAAATCCTTATCTTTGTAATACATTTATATTATCAAAGATGTACCTTAGTTACATATTATTTTTTTATGTTTTGCTTATCCATGTAATTTATACATTTCATTCGATTATCTATAGGTTGCCTCATCCAATAATAGTGAACTGATTCTCTTACATCTTTTGATCGATTATCTACAAATATATGAACCACATCCAGAACTGCTAGTCTTTTCATCGCATCATAGACGTTTATCAATGAAACCAGTTGAAGCAGATGATACTGTGAAAGATATGACCAATGATAATGAGATTATTGATAAATATCAATCTACAGATTATTTAATAGATCGCATTAGAATAGATGCATTGCATTGGTTGGGTGCTCAAACAATTTCTGTTGAATCTCTTTTAAATTTAGCTACAAATTTAAAACCTGGTAAATACTCTTTGTTTAATGAATTATTTTATTGTTATTCATTACAGTAATGGTAATTTATTTATTTATTTTATTTATTTAAACACATAAACATTGGTACGAGGAGGCACCATATACATATGCGCCACATAAATCATTCGATTTATGTGAGGGCTGTGATATTGTCCGGGTGCCCAAACCGAAGCTAGTGGTTTTCTTAGGGGGCCACACCCAGAGCCTTTGACCTAAAGGTTAATCCACAAGGCAGTGGAGCAACGTCTGGAGATGCAGTCTGATGGTAGCCGGTGACCAACAATTGGTTCCTATATCATTTGTTCCTTCAGGATCTTGTAACCTATATTCATTATTGGTTTGGAATTGGGGTTTTCCAACTCCCCTAGGTGAACTCTCCGTGTCACCAATCCGGTTAAAGTGCTGGACATTCGCTTTTCCTCCTCTCAATTCGGTGAAGAACACCCTCGTTGCGAGAAGGCGGTTAGTAATAATAAATTCATTCAATACTATATATTTGATTATATTGAAGAATTATCATTACAAAATGCCTAAAATTATAGAAAATGTTCTTAAACACGGAATTTAAAAATATTCCAAAAAGAATATGTATACAATAATTTTAAATGGTGATTCGCCACCATTCACAGTTATCTCTAAATGATTACGATCATCAGTAGTCCTTTTTGGTAACTTCTTCTCATCAACTTATTACATTTGATGTATGAATTCTTTAGTAATTGTCAATCATTTTTGCTAAGGATAGAGAAGATGGAAAGTATAAAATCCCCTGTAATGTTCCTACCTCCAGTAATTAGATTACCAAGTGTATACGGTTGATAAACATAATTACTTAGTTACAAACAAATCTGAAAACAGGGAAATTTATGTCAATATCAACCGATGTTTGGAATATAATGACGCATAAGTTTGAGAAGATTGATATTAGATTAAATACGTTGTAATTCATGAGTGATTTTTTAAAAGTCTACTATACTAGTGATATACAAACTCCTATGTTTAGTTTTTTAAACTGCAATATTTAGTATGATGGATATTCACGCTATCCATGGGTGCTCAAAGGAAAGTAGTTGGAGCACTATTTTCGATCTTTTAAGTCAATATTTCAATGTTTAATAGTTTGAATACTATGTCACATGTTTGAACTGTTGACAATAGATGTTACGATTATATGCTTGAGATCAACTAGAGAATTATTGAAAGCTAATTCTACACAATTAAAACATCAGTGAATTTCTATTATTGCAAAACGATCAACAAACGCTGTCGGTGATATCTGTCTTACCCTTGATACTGTTGAAGCCCTTCATTTACAGTTTCTCGCTAGAATTCATCTAAAATTAGCCGTAAATTACTTATAAGATTCAGATATTTACCATTTATTGATCACTTGTTCTATAAGATTCGATTAATACTAAAGGACTTGACAAACATAACGTTTGTAATTACCCACTCATTACTTATCGATATGTCCCGAACTAAAAATGAACTAGATACGTGGTGTTTCATAGCCTTCAATAGTTTTTTTTTAAAGGACTTCATTTCAAGACGATATAAAGGGTGTTTAAACCAAGGTGAAGTTTATCAAGATATCTTATTCTTTCAAAAAAACTTCATTAAACGTGTGTAATCAATCAAAATAGGCAACAACCAAGTCTTGATCTAAGACTCCTGATCACATTCATAATAATAATGGAAATCATGTATGTCACAACTATTGATATGTTGATTATTGGTTTTCGTTTTTTTTTGTGTTTCAGAGGATATCAATCGTCCTGGTTTACTTTCAGTACTCATGTCTAGTTTTGATGCTTGTTTAACTACATACAATACACCTACTTCTAAATGGTCATCACAAATATCATTATCATCTAAACCGTCAAGTGCGGTATCTAGACGTCGTCTTCTAACAGCTCTACAACATTTGCCTATTTTTCCATTAACTGATGGACAATGTATTCGTTTAAGTGATAAACAGAAACATGTTTGGTCTAATGATATCCATCCAGTTGTTTTATTACCTCCGTGTCCATCAGAAATCGCTTCCATGTTGATTGGAATCACATATGGTAGGTTAAAAGATCTAATTGTAGATGAGTCAGTTGATTTTTCTCCTATATTGTTTTAACCGTTTTATTGACAATGAATTCTGTAATTAACAGTTTTTCATTGAACTCTAGTGTTTTTTTTATCCCTCTTCTTTGTACTCATATGTACTCTAACACTGTACACTTTAACAATGGGTTCATTGTTCCAAGCTTCATTTAGTACTATGAAGGAGTGAAGATGTAGTCTATGATAAGGTGAATTCAATCAAGTGTTTCTCATTGGCTAACTGATTATGACATTGGAGTGCAGGATGAGCGTTCGTCCTATTTCAGTCAGTCAGTCAGTAACAACGTAGAACTTCGTACATACGTACATCAGTTCGAGTTGCCACACCACATTAGCACAGAGATGCAGTTGTTGATTAAAATCCCATAGTGGTAGAGGTAGTAAGAGTATAAGCAGTAATCGGAAAGATTAGGGTTTGAAGATGTTATTGAAGGAGTATAATTCAGTGAAATAAATTTAGAAAGAGAAAAAAGAATGGGATATGAAAAAATTCAGAAGATTAGAATTTGGGAGAACACAGAGTGGATGCACCTGTGCTATTGCGGACGGCTTCGAGCCATGTCATTCAAGGTCTCTAACCATAGGTTGCTATCGTCTTTCGGATCCCAACCAGATATTCTCACCTACCAACACAACTCAGTCCACTTGTCAGTGACTTCATGGACTTGCGCCATTTTTTGGTGTGGCCGCCCCTAGCTTTCTTCCAACCTACTCCTATACTATTGAGCATCGCGCGTCGAGGCAGTCAGTCGTTGGGCATAAGTAACACGTGTCCCAGCCATCTCAACTGATGAAGTTTCACTACTTCATCAATTGATTTGCCATCCTTACCTACTACCCGTTTCCTGACAACTGTATTACTTACTCGATGGTCCCACGATATACGAGCAATGTTTCGAAGACATCTATGATCGAATACTAGTAACCTACGGATGTTCTCTACTCTTACCGGTCATGTTTCACTGCCATAAAGTAGAACGGCACGAACTGCTGCACAGTAAACTCGTCCTATTTCATACTGATCAGTTGGGTGTACTTGGATCTCAGAGTTGATGATTATTCTGTGATATATCCCAACAAAGATTAGTCAAATTTCAGCCAAAATATCAACAACGAGATAACCCAAACCATTATAAGTTCAATCAATCATAAACAATTATGAGACATTAAAACTATTGTGGATGAAGAGGTTGTTCCAGATTCTGTTAGACAAATAAATCTAGTTTTTCCAGATGTGTAGCTGTTGCTTCTGCAATATTGAGAAAATGGAATCTAACTGTTTTTGGCGACCTTATACTTACCTTGAAGATGACTTTGAACATAGAATCCTTTTTGATTGCGTGTCCCATGCTCACAAGGTATTCGATTATTGAGCCTCTTAGTGAACTGTTTCCACTTCATTTCAACCAAGCCAGATAATCTCCTCAAATTCTTCGGGATAAAGTATAACCTATATACCTGGCTCTTCATGATTATGATAAATTTCACTGACTCCAAGTTGATGACAATTAACTGGTTGACTATCATTATCAATCAGCACTTCAACACTAGAATTCGTTCATATATAATTTTGACGAGACTATAGTTTATGGACGCGCTTTGAATGAATCTTAAGTGACCTTGGGAAATATTAACCAATCAGCAAACAGTAAGTATAGAGTAAAAATAAATTATACAAAACCAAAGAAATAAAGTGGATGCGCTTCTTATACGTGGTTCAAAAACTTGTCAAGGTTAAAAAGAGGTTCAGAGGTTCTAAAATCGTAATGCATGCAGTAGAGGAAATCATTCATATGGCTACGGAATAGTCGGCCTCTGGAGCCATGATAAAGTCTCAGAAACTCTCAGTCTCGACCACATAGCTTCAATATTGTTTGTGTGCTCTCCGGTTGTTGAGTACACAAAATACCACTTGTGGATAACGACACGATGCACATAACCAAACCTATGTAGGAGTCTGTACGCTCTCCAAACATCCGTATATATTGTAGTACCTGGTTGCAGTCAGTGTTACTGGTGCTTTTATTATCCAGTTCGCAATAATTGTCATAATTTGCCTTAGTTAGGAATTATATATGGGGTTTTCATCATGAACTGACCTCAGCTATAATTCCAGGAATTTATTTCGCCAAATAGATGAAACGCTTTCGCACCCAAATCCGAGATCTATTATCTTATACCTGATTGATTCGTCCACAAATTATAGTCTCGCTGTTTTATTTGTTATAGCCGCTCATTTATCACGTTTTGTATAAAATTCCCTATGAACTGATTGTACGTTAGCATTAAACATTGAAGTCGGCGCCGTAACCTTGAAATCTCTCAAACGCTTCTGATTGTCTCATTCATCAATTAGAGTCTCACTATAATTTTTCCTTTACTTATTTTTTTTCTCTTCTTTTTATAGATGATTATATTCAATTAATAGAGAAATTAGGACCATTAATTAAACCAGATGCTTTTCAATCTAATCAAATTAATTATCATAAAGATTATTCCACTTTATTAACTGATCAGTCACCAATTGGATTAGGTTTACAAATAGCTTATCCTTCTATTGTTTTAACAAAATGGATTATTCCTTATTTAAAGCTAAAACAATCTAATGATAATTTTATGAATGTATCAATGATACAAATGAATTGGTATATAACTGTAGCACAATTTTATACTTCAATTCATTTCAATAAAAGTTATTGTTATCAAATAGAAAATATTAATGAATTTTCAACTGTTCTACCAATTGTTGTTTCAAATAAATTTGGAGAAAATTCTATTCTACCAGCATTATGTGATTATTATGAAAATGGATTACAACGTGATCAACCAATTATTTTACCTCCAGCTACTTTTACTATCGCTTCATCATTCATCATCATCATCATCAGTGAATATGGATAGAAATTTTATGGAACAATTAGAAGTTGATTTATTCACATTTTTAATTGAACAAATAAATGATTCTGATTGTATGTATACTGTGTCACCAAAATATTTTCAAGGTTTTTCAACGAATCCACAACAAGCTTCTCGATGGTATGATCTATTTTCAAAAGCTGGTTAGTTTACTCCTTTTTCTTTTTAATTATTCAGTTACTTCACAGATTGAAATCATGAGTCAATTGAAGCTAGACCACCATGAAAAACCTGGAAGCACTGGACGGACGTTTCGTTCTAGTATGGGACTTCTGAGCAGTGCGCATCCACGATCCTGCACATCGCGAGATTCGAATCCAGGATCTATCAGTCTCGCGCCAGGCGCTTAGCCAAATAGACCACTGAGCTGGTCGGCATCCAACGGTGTTAATGTCTAACTTTAACCAATCCATGAAGTTGCGCCACCGTATACCATTGTCTTCAGTGAACTAATATCTCACAACAGACCTGGTTGAACTCCACTGGTAACGGCTTCTCATTAAAACTCCAGGAGTATCTCGCGCCTGGTGCGAGACCGATAGGTCCTGGGTTTGAATCTCGCGGGGTGCGGGATCGTGGATGCACACTGCCGAAGAGTCCCATACTAGGACAAAACGGCCGTCCAGTGCTTCCAGGTTTTTCATGGTGGTCTAGCTTCAATTGACTCATGATTTCAATCTGTGGAATTTCTAAAATCTCCATAAACTCCTTCTGATATTCAGTTACTTATTTATTTTTACTGTTATTATCAAATTCAATCAGTTAGTCTATCACAACATGGGACCAGGCACATATGTGTAGCGGTCCAAGTTGCTATATCTCATTAGCACGATAAGATGAACATCAAATTCCTAGAAGTAATTCATTCAATGGTAGTAATATACAAAAGAAAAATTTCATATGAGGATATAGTACAGGAAGAAAGAATTAGTTCGCAGAAAGAAAGATATGAAGCAATTTTAATCTGCTAGTTTAAGAGAAGATAGAGAGTGTATACACCGACGCCATTGTGATCGATTCTGAGCCATTTCACTAAGAGTCTCAAACCATTGGTTACGATAGTCACGCGGACCCCAACCAAGTGGTCTGCATCTACCAACACGGTTCAGACTAGAGGTTAGTGACTCCAAGCACTGATGTCACGTTTTGGTTTGGCTGCCCCTAACTTCCTTCTAGCTATCCCCAACACCAGTTAGCATTGCGCGTCGTGGTAATCGGTGTTCGGGCATACGTAGCACGTGGCCCAACCATCTCAGTCGATGAAGATTCACAACCGCGTCAACTGATTTACCATCATTCCTTAATACCCTGTGTCTAACCTCACTATTACTTACCCGGTGATCTCAGCAGATGCGAGCAATATTTCTAAGACCGACCGTTGTTACTTCCTTGACGTGGTGGTCGCGCTTGCCTATCGTGATGAACTAATCGAGATATACTGGCTAGAACAAACGCTCCTCGAAGTCTTACTATGACAGACAGGTCGGTTGAAGAACGGTAAGACTAAAAACAACAAACCCAAGGTCCGAGGACGAAGCCGTACAGCTGACTGTACACAAGTGTGACGACAATAAGGTGTTCCCTTCAAACAACTAAGAATAGCAGCGATGCTGCCTTCCCACAAGGAGGGGTCGGATTGGAAAAGGTCGACCCTAAATATGCACATCTCGCCTTATTCAACAGATATTCGTCTCCAGCAGTTAGGTCTCAACAAGTAACAGAGCTAACACGAAAATCACTCACAAACAGGTCGTGTGTGACCGGTCTCAAGTTATTATGCCTTGGGCACTGCGTTCATGCTCTCAGGTCGATAAGACCACCCTTAGTCCAATTTCTTTTTCAGGTACATCCAGAAGAGCCCTTCCACGGTGTGGGCAACCGGTAAGTGATAACCGCCCCCATACTTCTAACAGCACTCAAGACTGACTGACTGATGGTCTGACTGATCAAGTTAAAAATTTGTTACCTTTGTTAATAATTCAAAGACTACTCGTAACTATGTAGATAGCTGTTAATATCAAATAAAAACTGGAAATGTCATATTCTTACATATTGACTGCTATTATAATATTTACTATTCCTAATTTACACCCAATTTATTAGCTACAGTCTTTCCCACTCACAGCCACTTTTGATCTGATCTTTTATAATTGTTATTTTCTATCTTGTGGTATGATGCTGTTTGATTTATTTGTATATAAACTAAGTATATCTAAAATATATTATTCATATAGTGGAAGCTTAGATTGTGTTCTGGACTCAGCGGACAGAGTCAGGCAAGAAAAACCAATATGGACTCAGAATTGACTTTAGGCTGCTCGTGATGGTTAACGCACCATTGGTTTGGCACAGTGCCAAGTTCGTATAAGTCAGTGTTCAATTTGAGATCATATCACGTGATAAATTAACTGGGCAAAAGTCATAACAATTTTATTCTGACGAACAATTGAATTTGCATAGCTGAATTTTATGTTACATTGTTTTGTCCCTTTTCTCCTTCTTTTTTTTGCTTACATTTACTAGGTGTGTGCACTTTATTGTCCGTTCACAAAATCAAATATTTTTATCAAGTATCTGGTACAACTTTAACATCAGTAAAAACTTCTAAACATGATGTTACATCACCAAGTATATTAAAAGATGCAATATCTTTACCAATAAATCATCGTTTACAAAAGTCAATCACTGAAGCATTAAACAAACAAGGTCTAACATTGTCAATCATGAATACACCATTAAGTAACAATAGTACTATATATTTGATTGAAGATTATACTTCACCTGGTATTGATCTACTTCTAACCTGTATTGCACGACTTCAAGGTAAATTAATGGGAAAAGAAATGGCTGAACGTTTAAGCTGTCTACTACATGATAATTGGTCTTCATATAGTCCGTAAGCTAATTTCTTGTTTGTTTGTTTTTCACCGATCATAACTAAAAAATGTTCAATATTGTACTTGTAAGTGAATTCGTCATGCGGTTGTGTTGTTCTATTTGATAGTGATATCTATCGATCATTGAGCATTAGTGATGAATTTCATGTTTATCTTTTCGTTAATAGTTATCAAACTGGATATACTCTACAAAGAGAGTCTTTTGTTAACAACTTCCAACCCGACACATTACAAACTTGGTCAACAAAATTCATGACTCATTGATCAATCAATTTCAATATTTCAGTCCTATAGGTGTGAACAGCTGTGATTGAAACTAGCATACGATCTAGATCCAGATTTTTCTTGCTGACTTCTGTCAAACATCTATCATTTGATTTTAATTATTATTTCATGTTTATTCAATTATTTGTTGTAGGTATTTGTACAGTTTGAAGACAGATTTTGCGACAAGTTAATATTCACTGAATTGGAAACTGTAAATAAGTGGATTTATATCGGGGACGTTAGTGAATATCTTTCTCATTCTAGTTCAAATTGATAACTTTCACATTTTGTTCATTCTTAAAGTACTGTAACCCTGAATTGAAGTTTAGTATCACAAATTTTATAACTACGTTTAAGTTTTTTATCTAGATTGAATAATCTTAGTCGTAAACAGACAATTAACTTGTTCATCACTTCCCTAGTTTTCGTTTCGTTCTCCTACTGACAAAAGTTTGCGAGTTCGTGGATGCGCACTGTTAAGGAGTCCCATACTAGGACGAAACGGCCGTCCAGTGCTTCCAGGTTTTCAATGGTGGTCTAGCTTCAACTGACTCATGATTTCAACCTGTGAAATAAATAATTTGTTAAATTGAACAAACCTTCATGAAATTATACAATAGATTGTAATAATGCTACAACAGTACCAACAACTCATAATGGCAATAATAATAACAACTTTATGCAATATTATATGTTCAGTACTATATGGAATTCATGTTTCAACTCTTAAACACACTTATGTCCTTGCAGCTGAATTATTATTAATAGTCCTTATAAAAATAGTCTAAGCAAACTTGAGTAGTTTGAAAGAAGGCTAATGGTGACCAAAAATATGGCTTTAGTCCATGAATTCACCGACTGGTGAACCAAACCGTGTTAGTAGTTTCAGACGATTTGATTGGAGTCCGTGCGATTATCATGATCATTGGTCAGAGACTTTGTGTGATATGTTTTAGCATAGATCTCACTAACACAAACGTATTCATTGTTTACTCCCGCTCCGGACATTTTATTTTATGTTATTTTAACACATAGATATTGGTACAAGGAGGCACCAAATACATATGCGCCACACAGATGTCATTTGATATGTGTGAGGGCTGTGATACTGCCCGGGTGCCCAGACCGAAGCAAGTCGTTTTCTTAGAGGGCCACACCCCGACTCTTTGACTTAAAGGTCTAATCCACAAGGCAGTGGAGCATCGTAACGAGATGCAGTCCCATGGAAGCCGGTGACCAACAATTGGTTTATACACTATTTGTTCCCACAGGATACTGGAGCCCATGTGCACCATTGGTTTGTAATCCGGTTAAAGCGCCGGACATTCGCTTTTCATCCTCTCATTTTCGTAAACAACACCGGTGCCACGAGAAGGCAGTGATTAGGACTTCCCTGGCAGAGGCTATATACGCGTGGTCGTGAGAGAGCATTTCGAGAGGGAGAGTGGACTCTCCCCACTCTTGGTCGTATTGAGGCATTTGGGAGCCTCCGGACACAATTTTTCCACGGATTTATTCTCTCTTCTCAAATCATATTCACAATTACTAATCTCTTTACTACTAGTTATACTCTTAATACTTCTAGTATTCTAGCATTTCTCTTGATAATTTGATCTTGGTAGTCTTATTTGGCATGAGAATTTACAAGTGTTACAGATATGTACCTAGTTCTACGTTGCTTATATTTGATTGATCAGCGGACACTTGATATTCAAGTTTGCAGTTCCTCTATAGTTGTGATTACTTACAATTCATATCAAGGATCAGATCATTGAATTGAAATTCAGTGGTTCATATTTATGACACAGTTACATTTATTCATCACCACCAGTAAAAGTGTGAAATTAATCGAGTCAATTCATTTATCTAATTATCATGAGTGTATAGTTTGTTAAATTTAATTTAGGACATTTTGTAATACACTTATCTTTTTGCTTTAATTTTTTTAATAAGAGTTCAATCTGCATTATTCACTCGTATAAAAACTCAAAATGATTCATTGGATAAATTGGATTCAAGCACAAATGATGGATTACCTACTACTACTATTACTACTAATGATACATTACATTATTTAGATTATTCATCTTGGTTATATAAACTACGTGAAACTGCTTGGTTACCAATTGAATCAACTATATTAACTACATCATCCTATCAACTTATGTGTCCTATTGATTCACGAATGATTTATTCTCCTTCAGCATTTTATCAAATACAATTACAAAATATTCAATTATTTAAACTTCTTAAAGATACTTGTTATATTTGGTCACCTGGATCATATATTCTTAGTAATCCATTGAATAGTCAATTTACAAAATCTATTGGTCTTATTAATCAACCTGATCGTTCAACATTTGAAGTAAATTTGTGATAAAGTATATTTATGAAGTGATATTTGTTTTACTAGTGTATAACATATGTTGTTATTAGTATAATGTTGTAAGATGATGAATTGATCGAATTTAGTTAACCATTGAAAACCTGGAAGCACCAGACAGCCGTTTCGTTCTAGTGTATGACTCTTCGACAATACTCATTTACAACCCATCAATCAGGAACTAGATCCAGTATCTTCAGTCTTGTAAGTTACTCAGTCAAAACAACAGGAAAGAGGTGCTCAATACAGTGGATTGATTAAAATTATACATGATACACCGATGAATCGATTTTCATCTGATTTCATCGTCAGGATGACCCAATACATGAAATTAACGTAACTACACGAAATGGATGTTGAACTGAACTGTATTTGCAGATAGAGGCTATCTAGTTAGTACAACAAGTTCGTCTGTTGCTTCTTCCATTCTGACACAAAAGTTCCCTGTTCAACACTAAATCCAGGTTAGGTTACATTACTTAATAACTTACATCTGTTACCCCTTGTGGAAGAGCATAGGCCTCTCACCGGGATTCTCCATCCAACTATGTCCTGGACAATCCTTTCCAGTTGCTATTCATCTTTTTCGTGTCTGCTTCTGATTCCCGACACAGCGTTCTCCTTGGGCGTTTCCCTTCAGGATTCCAAGTTAGTGTTTGTTTCGTGTTACAGTTTGATGTTTTACGGAATGCATGTACTATCCACTCCCAACGTATTTGCCTAATTGCCTCCTCAGCTGGAAGCTGGTTTGTTCTCTCCCACAGTAGGTTGTCGCTGATGGTATTCGATCAACGGACATTGAGTATCTTATGTAAACAATTGTTTATGAGTGCATTTACTCTTTTGATGATGGTACGTGAATGTTTCCACATCCTCCAGAGTTTTTCCATCAAGTGTGATTGTGTTGATGTTCTCCGTGTTGTATTTGAGGATGTTGCTTTTTGCCTTGTGTAATGTTGAGATCTACTGGTGCATAGGTTGCTGCTGCTGCTACATTGGTTGTGTTGACCTGCATTCGTTGATGTTTATGGGATTGAGGGATTAGGTGATTTGCGAAGTCCAAATCGTCTAGTTGCATCCAAGCTGACCAATTCGGGCTAGTTAAATTGTAAAACTATCTTAAACGTTAAAGATAATGACTGATACTAATCGATTAAATGAAATTGACATACAATTTTACGTGAAAATATTTCTCATAATATTTTGTTTCCAGTAAGTGTTATTTTTTCTCATTCTTTTTCCCACCTACTCCCTTCTCTACAGGCTTTAATGAAGTGTTTAGGTGAAAAAGTTAGAGACAATTCTATTGATTCTGTACACCTAACACCAGATCTTATGTTATTTATATATCGTACTGCTGTACAATATTATCTTCATGATGTCGTTGGTGATTATTCACGGACAATTGATTCAAGTACGGAGCATTCATTAATTGATTGGCTTCGGTCGGTATTTGCAAATCCTACCTATCCATGTATTTTAGTTCAATGTCCAAATACGATGATAACACGAAAACCTATACATAAGCGTCCACGTAGTGATACTACTACTGTCAATACTGATAATGTTGATCTCTATGAAAGCAACGTTTATAAATGTCCTGTTTGCGAGGCGATGTCGAAATCATCAACTTCAATGAAAACAGTACCAGGAAAACGACGTCAGCGGTCAAATGTTGATATAGACATTAGTGGTGGTAGCAGTGATGAAGTAGACCAGTCTACACCTGCATATCATTTGGTTGATATTGATGTTGTTTGTTGGGAATCTGTTGTTATTGACAATCATTTACTGAACTCGAAATATTTAAATGATAACTGTAGCAGTGATCTAGGAAATAACAATTCTGTGCATAACACAGAAGATGAGGAAGAAGATACTGTTGAATATTTCAATGATCAATATATACTGGTCAACTGTACTATGTCTGATCGGAACGAACAACCACTCATTCCTGTAAAAACTATAAATCGACCACGTGTATTTGTTTTATCGAAATGTTATGGTTCAGAATCTCGTCAATTTTTCATTGAAAAACTTGGTGTAAGTTGTTTTTATTAGTAATGATAAGGATAATTTGTATTTCTTGTGTGCATTGTAAGATTCCATGACCAAAAACTATACATTAACATAGTAAACCTTTAGTATAATTTTGTAATGTGAAAGTTAGTGACCGACTGACAAAAATTTTATCTTAAAATGTTAAACACTATTCTACGTTCAACATATGCGTTATGTTAGTTAAGAAGAAAACAATGCAGATAAGGGTATTATGTATGTGTTTGAGTTTCAAGCTAATGAATTTATAATTAGCTATCAAATAGATGATTCGTTAAGTCCATCATATGGACCATGATAGTACGTCGAACACATTGAAGAACACTGAAGGTGGTTTATGTTGGAATTTTATACCCTCAAATGCCCTGGTACGGCCGAGATTGGAGAGAGTCGACTCTCCCTCTGGAAATGCTCTCGCATGGCCACGTGCATACAACCTCCGACAGGGAAGTGTTACTCACTGCCCTCTCGAGGCAGTTAACTACTATGAATCCGGTGTTCATCTTGTTGTGCTAATGAGATATGGCAACTTGGGCACATGCACATATGTGCCTGATCTTATGTTGTAGCTTACTGACTAACTCTCGTGGCGGGGGTGTTGTTTACAAAATTGAAAAGACAGAAAGCGAATGTCGGAGCTTTAACCGGGTTGGTGGACGCGGAGGGTCCACCTAGGGGAGTTGGAAAACTCATATTTTATACCAATGGTGTACATGGGCTCCAGGATCCTGAAAGGACAAATGGCGTATAAAACTATTGTTGATCACTGGCTACCATGGGACTGCATCTCCTGACATTTCTCCACTGCCTTGTGGATTAGACCTTTAGTTTAAAGGCTCAGGGTGTGGACTCCTAAGAAAACGACTTGCTTCGGTCTGGGCACTCGGGCAGTATCCTAGCCCTCACACAAATCGAGTGATTTATGTGTTTAAATAAACAATATATACTCAGCTTGTGTACCGAGTACATATTCTTATTCTAAGTGGAAGGCCTAGTGATTACCATTACTTAGTCGATCATTAAGTAATGGCTAATATCACGTTTGTCTAATTTTTCAGATTGATCAAATTCTACTCATCAATTTACAGTCTAACTATTAATCTAAATGATTCAGCATCATATGCACTAATATTTTAATATTAAATAATTGGAGATAGTCAATAAGATACCCCAAGCCTCTAAGTCTCATGTTAGCTGTTACTCAATAGCAAATGATAATTGAACTCCTAAAAAAATTGATTGTGGGATTCGAACTTAAGTCAACCCTATTTCACAATCTTAAGTGTTACCATTAAGTTGTTCAAGTTATCATAATTGTCATTGTTTATTATAATTTTCAATGGTTAAGATCATGAGTCAGTTGAAGCTAGACCACCATGAAAAACCTGGAGGCACTGGACGGCCGTTTCGTTCTATTGTGGGGCTCCTCAACAGTGTACATCCACGACCCCGCCCCTGCGAGGTTCGAACCCAGGACTTACTGGTTTCGCGCGCGAGCACTTAATGACTAGACCACTGAGCCGGAATCCAACGGCGTTAATGTCTAACTTCGACTAATCTACGAAATTGAGCGACACATCCACCATTTTCCTCAGTGAGTTACTATCTCACAACAGAAGGGGTTGAAACCAGTAGGTCCTGGGTTCGAACCTTGCAGGGGGCGAGGTCGTGGATGCGCACTGACGAGGAGTCCCAAAATAGAACGAAACGGCCGTCCAGTGCCTCCAGGTTTTTCATGGTGGTCTAGCTTCAACTGACTCATGATCCTAACCATTGAAATTACTATAATATCCACAAAAGCCATCTGATATTATAATTTTATTCATTTTCTTTTTCTTCTTCTTAAAGTTACCATCTACTTCAACAATTGATGAAATTCTCGCTTTACGTCCAAATCTACCAATAATGAATCATAATAATAATGATAATACAGATTATAGAACATATTCAATATATAATAAATCATTATATGAATTTAATAAAAAATTATCACATTGGTATTCATTATTAGATTATTGTTTATATGAAGAATATTTCACTGAATATCGATTACATAATAGAACTGAAATCAATATTTATCAAAATAATAAATCAATAAATGATAATAAACAAAAAACGAACCAAACTATCAATAATTTTGTAAATATTGATATTGAATTGAATAAAAGTACTCAATTAAATTATATTAAACAATTTCCAATTATATTAGATTCATTTGGACAATGGCATAAACCATGTGATGTAAGTTCTACCAACTAATTCTTTCTTTCCTGTATCTTTATATACAACCTTTCTTTTATATATATATATATATATATATATATATATATATATACATTACTATTATTGAAATAACTACTTCTATGAATCAGACGTTCACCTTGTTGTGGTAATGAGGTATGACAATTTGGACCGATGCATATACATGTACCTGATCCTATGTTGTAGCTGACTGACTGTAAATCGAGCGTAGATTTTTAAAGAATTCTCTTATTTTTTTTTCTTCCAAATCCCATAGAAATCTTTTCTATGATTTATGTTTGCATCAGAAGAAGGATATCGAAATTGTAGTGAAGGAGAACACAGGTGAGGACAACCGAATTATTTTGATGGAGTTTTGTTCTCTGAGCTGGATGGTTTGGTCGTGGAGCTTTCATCGTTCTTCTAAACAACATCATCAGCACAAACTTCAGACAGAAGTGAAGTGTTCGAATTCCTCAATATGCGTTTCACAGCTTGTTCTGTACACCTCGACGTTGATTGTTTCTTATTTACCGTAAATTTATCATTGTTTACTTCTTTGTTTTGGTTGTGTCTCGCATTGGTTTGATTTTTGTTCCTATATTTGTGCATGGTTTTCCTGATTGGTTGATAAATTGGATAGATATCAATGTGCTTGTTGATTGCTGATTGACCTGAGTACCAGGCTTCTAAAAAATTCTCTGGTGTTTTTGGAGTTTCCTCTGTCTAAGATTTCCACATTTTTCCAATCGAATGAGTGTCCGTAGTTGTCCACGTGTATTGATATAAGTGAGTAGATATCATGTCGTTTGACTGCTAATTGATGTTCATGTAGGCGAAGGTGATGGGGGCGTCCGCTTTGTCCGATGTAGTGTTTTTCGCAGTTGGCACAATTTATTCTGTAGATGATTTTTGATTCGTCTTCCTTTGTTATTTCATCGTTTGGTGTGCATAGGATTGATTGTATTGATTTTGTCGGTTTAGCGTGCCACACCTATCCCGAAGGTTTTCAGCAGTTTCGTTGCGGTTTCTGATATGTCTTTTGTGTATGGTAGGGCGATCCTTTTGTTGATTTATGTGCTTGACTTAGGTTCTGATGCTGTGTGCGATTGGTATTTTTTAATGAAGTTGGTTGGGTAGCCGTTCTTTTGAAACCGAATTATATCTAGCAGAAAATTATAGAGTTAATTGGTAAAATAGAAAAAACTATACTATAATGCTTAATTTGCAAAATGTTCAATAATTGGCTCAAACTTCATTGTTATTGCATTTTCATACTAATTGCTTTCTATTCCCGTTCTTCCTTTCTTGATCTTTCCAATTAACTCATCTGTAAATCTTAGTATCGTAATTAAGTCACTTTTGTTCACTAGTAATCAGTCAGTCAGTAACAAAGTACAACTTCGTACGTACGTACATCAGTTCGAGTTGCCACACCACATTAGCACAGAGATGCATTTGTCGATTCAAATCCCATAGTGGTAGAGGCGGTAAGAGTATAAGCAGTAATCGGAAAGATTAGGGTTTGAAGATGTTATTCAAGGAGTATAATACAATAAAATAAATTTAGAAAGAGAAAAAAGAATTCAGAAGATTAGAATTTGGGAGAACACAGAGTGAATGCACCCGTGCTATTGCGGACGACTTCAAGCCATGTCATTCAAGGTCTCTAACCATAGGTTGCTATCGTCTTTCGGATCCCAACCAGGTAGTCTACACCTACCAACATGACTCAGTCCATTTGTCAATGACTTCATGGACTTGTGCCATGTTTTGGTGTGGTCGCCCCTAACTTTCTTCCAACCCTGCTCCTATACCATTGAGCATCGTATGTCGAGGCAGTCGGTAGTTGGGCATACGTAACACGTGTCCCAGCCATCTCAACTGATGAAGTTTCAACACTTCATCAATTGATTTGCCATTCTTACCTAGTACTCGTTTCCTAATAACTGTGTTACTTACTCGATGGTCCTCGGATATACGAGCAGTGTTTCGAAGACATCTATGATCGAATACTAGTAACCTACGAATATCCTCTACTCTTACCGGCCATGTTTCACTGCCATGAAGTAGGACGGAACGAACTGCTGCACAGTAAATCCGTCTTTGGTCAATAGTAGTACAGTGAATGAATACAGTCAATTTGAATTATAGACTGGAAGACAGTTCACTGATTCATGTATTTGTTTCGATCACAGAATTACGTCACAAAGTTCAGTATTTAGTACCATTTTAACTACTTTTCTGTCAGTTGTAGTAGGCTGGAATTTAGAAATCACCTACATGTTTTCTTACCACCAAACAAGATTTTATTTCACAATAATGTAATGGACTTTAGAAATATTACGTTAACCAAATGTATATTTATACATTATGTTAATGTTCACACTGACACTTGAACACAGTACCTATCGCCTCGAGTACCATCACGGCATACATTAAGCTAATGGGTCCAGTGTTAGCTACTGGTACTGTGATCAACTTTTAATATGAACATCAACATTAAAATGTAGTTAGATCAAGTTGATGAATCCCAAAATAAGATAAAACGCACATTCTTAATTCCATTGCTAATCATATTCATGAAAATTACCAAAATGTATATGTACAGTCAATAATGGGAACTTACACTCAAAGATCTAATTTACCAATAGAGACTCAAGAAATACTAAACAACAGAAAACTAAAACAACCTTTAAGAATGACAACAATAAAGATAATCATAAATATTAGAACAACACATATAAGAGAACAATTGTTTTCAATTAGATCGTCATTAGGCTTTACTCTAATATACATGATGACGATCTAATTGAAAACAATTGTTCGCTTATGTGTTGTTTTAATTTTCACAATGGTAATCTTTAATATTCTAAAATCATAAATATCACACTTATTCATCAGTTGTAATTTATACAGTAATTACAGTTGTATATATCAGTAATGAAAACTGAATTAATTGTTTATTTATTTTATTTGCTTATTAGATTGTTACACTGACCTCCACTTCGACGAATGATGTTGAGGATGATAACAATGATGATACTACTAATCATCAAAGTAATAAACTTTATTTATTTGCCTGGTCTAAACCTATACATGCTCGTTTAATTCATGAAATGAATTGGAAACAATGGAATGCTAGTAAAAATAATGTCGATGGAAATAATGTTTCATTCGATCCAATCTTTCGTATAATGGCGCATAGTTTAAATTGTCTAAATGCAAGATATACTGGAAGTAGTTTAAAAATGTCTCCATTTTCAACAAAATCAGTATTGACTTCTACTTCTTTTCTGTTGGATCAGCTTACATCATCATCAGTACAGTATTATTGTCGTGAAGGAACTGTACATGGCCTACTTCTTGATTTGTTCAGTCTACCGGTTAGTTCATATTTGTTTTTCTGTTGTTTTCTTTTTTCTCAATGATTACTCTGAAGAGATTAACTAATTTTAATTAACGTCAGTGAGTTTCAAAGATTGTTGGATTTTGTAGTTTCTATACTACCTCAAAATTCTTCATGCGAAAGCATATTATAGAAAGATATGAATTTTACGTGCTTAGGTGTGGCCTCGTATATCGGAACCGTTTAACTTACAACAAATGAACTACTGACTAGTGTTTCGATTCACCGGTATACACAGCGATTGATCTCATGTTGTAGGAATGAAATATTAACGGTAATTGATTTCAGTGTGATATATTTGATCCTGAAACTCTTAATACTTTCTACAATTGCTTCTTATTTCTCTATAAATCTCCTACACTTGAGCTCCAAACGGAAGAACAAAATCCAGGAAGAAGTATGAAAAGAACCTTATATCTAAGATTAATTCAGGAACAGAAAACAATAGCATATTTACTGTTACGTGTGGTTCTGATTTCCCAGAGTATTTTGGAAATATACTGAAATTGACAACAAAATTTGTAGTTATCCGATCAGAATAGTTAATGCACTTCATCGTTTTCTTGGTTTCTCTAGGAAGATGCTTTCGAACATTGATTGAACGAAGTATTTTCAGCCTTTATTCATCTTCGGCGAACTTGTCTGCGGAGTTATTGAGTGCTTATAGCGTTAGATATTGATTAATGTCACGCTTTTCAGTCGAATTCGTACTAATCAGATTCTATCTGTCTAGAATTTGTATTGTATCAATCTAACTAACTCAACATATTCGTGTAATTTGTTTTTATGCCAATAATTATCAATGAGAATGTCTTCATCATTCTCAGAACCTTGAAGATGTTTAAAGTGCTTAAATCATAGGTTTCATTTTTCATTGAAATCGATTTAATCTAACAGTGTTTAACCCAGAGTTGATTATACAGGAACTTCTAGATGACTTGTTTTTTTTCACCAACTTTGTTTTCATCACCACTCACATCCCTAGATTAGGATATCAGGAAGCTATTCAACTAATAGTTTACAAGTGTTAGATGAATGTGCTTAAGAAAATGAAATTGTGAAATCTTGGAAACTGTTTTTTGAATAATCAGTTTTATATATTTTTTCTATATATCGTATAATAAACAGTGGACATTCTTATAGTATCTTAATTGTATACTTTCTCCTGCTTCGGTTTGGGCACCCGGGCAGTATCACAGCCCTCACACATATCGAATATGCATCGCATATGTATTTGGTGCCTCCTTGTACCAATATCTATGTGTTAAAATAAATAAAATACTTTCATTTGGCTCATTAATTTTCGTGACGTTTTTGATGGAGTTTTGTTCTCTGAGCTGGATGTTTTGGTTGTGGAGCTTTCATCGTTCTTCTGAACGACATTCATCAGCACAAAATTCGTTCGTGTCATTTTTAAATTATAAATACTTAATCATAAACGTGTTACTCAGTTTCGTCATCTCCGCCTATGCTCCGACAGATTGCAGCCCGGATGCAATCAAGGATGAGTTTTACCACCAGTTATCTGTTCTTCTCCAGAAAGTGCGTTCGACAGATATTGTAGTACTAGCCGGAGACTTGAATGCTCAGGTCGGGCGTCTAGGCACAGAAGAGAGTCGTTTAGGTGACCGATGGGGACTCGTTGGTCGCAGGTCAGATAACGGGTACCGTCTACTGCAACTTTGCACAGACCACAACCTGTTTCCGGCTAGCACTAACTTTCGGCACAGTCATCGCCGATTTGCCACCTGGCGTCCTCCCTTTGCATCTCAAGCCTGTACTCAGATTGATCACATCGCGATCAGCTACCGCTGGCGTGGTTGTATACAAGACTGCCGCTCCTTTTGGACTACCTATCTGGACTCTGACCATGCGTTGGTCTGCGCCAATCTTGCCTTACTTTTCAGTGGACAACAAGGTGACTGCCATCAACGGATTGATGTTAGCAAGCTGGTTGCAACTTCTGTTGCAAGTAAGTATCGAACCGAGCTAGCCTCTAGGCCAGGTTCCTTACAACTCATTGAAGCCCGTCGGTCTACTCCGGGTGACCGTGAGTTTGACCATAAACGAAGGATGTTACGTAGGGAAATTGGGCAAAGCTTGCGTAAGGACCGAGAAGCCTGGTGGTCGAGCGTGCTAATGAGCTGGAAGCAGCAGCTGCATCTGGTAACTACCGGAAGCTCTTCCAACTCATCCGAGCCACTGGCAGCAAGAAGTCTGGTGTGAGTGAAACAATCTGCGAGGATGATGGGATGCCAATCACTAACATCCATCGACGTCTTGGACGATGGGCAGAATTTTTCGAAGGGCAGTTCAACTGGCCTGCTGCTCCGGCAACATCGGTCAGACTGTCCTGCCCTCCATGGCCGGTGACGACTGATCCACCAAACGAGGAGGAAGTCCGCAAGGAACTCCAACTCTTGAAGCGTTACAAATCACCTGGCCCAGATGACTTACCTCCGGCTCTTTTTAAAGATGGTGGTGACTTTTTGACTAAGGAATTGACGACGTTGTTTACAAAGGTTTGGGAACTAGAGAGTGTACCAACGTCATGGAATGAGTCGATAGTTGTCCCTATCTTTAAAAAGGGTTCACGTCGTTCCTGTAACAACTATCGGGGGATAAGTCTACTTCCGATTGCGTCCAAGCTATTGGCTTCCGTCATACTTCGTAGGTTGTTCAAAACCCGAGAAAGATTGACTCGCGAGGAGCAGGCTGGGTTTCGTTCTGGTCGAGGATGTATTGATCATATCTTCACCCTCCGCCAAATGTTAGAACACCGCCATACTTTTCAAAGGCCAACAATCGTAGTGTTTCTTGACATCAGGGCTGCCTTCGATTCGTTGGATAGGACTGTTCTCTGGGATTGTCTATTGAAGAAGGGTGTGCCTGAGAAGTTTATTAACATCCTAAAAGCCCTATATAAAACACCTCAGGCAGAGTGAGGGCATACAACCACCTCTCTCCATTGCTACACAGTGGCTAGAGACGTTATCAGATATGGCTCAGAATAGAAGCCAGTGGCGATCCTACTGTAACCTTCTTTTACTTTCTTCATTAAAAAAAGGTTGTATCTTCCGTAACTGAAGGGTTTCTTTTGACTGTACGTTTCCGTTCCCCCATTGTTACTATTATTATTATTACTACACTACCTTACATAAACTCTTCGTTATTGTTTTTTTTTGCGCTCCTTACTTTTTTTCTTTTTCCTTCTCTTTGTGTGGCGCATATATATTTGTCGCACTCTTGTACCAATATTTATGTGTTCAAATAAATAAATACTCAGTTTTGTATCACATATGTCCTAGTTATGTACACATTAAGATTACTTCATTGTATGATATGTACATAAATCACGTGAGTCTATTGGGTCACAAAAAAATATAACATACATAATTAGTTGATATGGCGTTCTTAATTAGCTAGTTTAGAATCAGATAGGAATTTTACTTTGGTAATTAATTGTTAGAGTATGTACATTCATTAAATGAGCAAATCCAGTGTTGTTCACATTAGCACAATCACTACCAGAAAAAGAAAGACTGTTTCATTGTATTTCAAATGTTTACTGGATTTTCTTTTGTTTTTTTTTAAATTTCTTATCTTGTATACACAGCTCATTGATCATGTCAGTGAATTATCCATCAAACATCATTATCATCATCAAGTTAATCCTATTAATTATTCTAATCCAAATACCAGTTTTAAAACTGATTCCTTTATGATACCATGTCGTGCATTGGATATGTTTTTAAAGGGTTTAATGCGTTTAATTCTATTATGGTGGTGTTCAACCATTCATTCTTCATCAAATACTATCACTTATCATACTAATACATCAGAAAATTCAATCGATGAAACTATAGTGAATGGAATTTTGGAATCAAAAGAGATTAATGCTTTTCTGGTAAGGTTTTATATCATAAAATTTGTTAAATTATATTTACTGTTATGTCGGGAAAAGAAAGATTTCTTACTTGGACTCTATTAGGTGCTGTGTGATCTGGATGTGACGACATAAAAGCATTTGCATTATATATTGACACACATCCTTCAATAGATCGCAAGCAAGACCTTAACTTCTGTTGTTCTTCGAAATCCTTTTGATTTAGTGGCCAATCAGAAGACGTGGATAGAAAGCAGATCAGTTCTCTATTGTATTCAATTCAACTATGATCTAAAACCCATATAATAATACACCTGACATATCTGGCTTCACAGTGTAACACAATTTAGGAATTACAATGTGTACTTAACTTTAGTCATAAACGATAAAAAAACCCGGAGTAATGAGGGAAAAGTTAATTGATCGTAAATCTTGAATAATAAGATATTCGACAACAATTTTCGGTCAAACGAGAGCTTAGAAATAGGAAAATATGGAAATACAACATTACACACTTACACTTATTATACAATAACAATACAAATAATCGTCCTCCATATGTTAACTCCAAAAGTCATACTTCTACACTGTTTGTCCCATTGTATCATGCACCATTATATTTAGTAATCTATGTACTCCATACAATAAACATTATAGAATGCGGTCATAAGAACTGTAATTTACAAAATTCAAGGTACATCAATCTTTCACTCTTTAAAATGCTCTTCATTTTTATGGTGGATTTGCCTTACTTCCGTTCTAATTGCTTGAATTACCGATAGAAATGTTAGGAGGTGATTTCCCGCTAACTGTCGTCGATCATCTAACATTAAAATGTAATTCATGCGTTTTTGAAACACTTACGTTGGTAACTACATTGTAATTTAATAGATAAAATCCGACTAATACTGAATAACTCGACAAATATAACTTAAGTCACCACTTAGCAACCAATCAATCGTAAATCTGTTTAAGTTCGTAAACTCCCACTTCTTCAGATGTCTCGTCGTCATTTTATGTCCGCCTATTTGTAGTCTTTGGATGATCACTGTGCAAAATGCAATTCTTTAGAGGCTATATCTATTAACTTAAATGAACGATCCCGTTTGGGGGGGATAATTGATTGAATTTCGCGTACCCAGACAGTCTCTGATAAATGTTTAAGCGAACTGTCATAATATAGCAGTCTTACATCAACATCAAACAAATATAATCAATTAGTGTCTGAAAATAAGATAAGGTGTGATGACCAACGTTACTCAACTAACCGGGTTTTTAATTCAATCACGATGATCTCGGGTGCTGGTAAAGAAGTATTAGGGCGAATGTCACTTTCTGATCTCTCGCACCATGGAAGGATACTTCTTATTGAGAGACCTGAAAACGAAATTGAATTAGTGGTTCTCTCAGTGGACTGGGAGCGTGACTGCAGAACTAAAGCGACAACTACTTGAGGTCGGTCGCGCACGACCTTTTTATGGTAAGTTTTTGATGTGTTAGCTCCATACTTCAAAAGCCTAACCGCGGTAGACTGGAATCCATGAGGTGAAATGAGGTGTGACAGTTTTCAGGTCGATCTTTTCTAACCCCTTCCTGCCGTTGTGAGAAAAAAGTGTTGTTGCAGTTGCTGGTTGTCCGAGGTAAACACCCCACTACTGTCACACCTCTCTTTAGCCAGTAGTATGACTTTGCTCTCGGACCTTAGGTTGCTGCTTTTGGTCTTACATTTCTTCAACTGACCTGCCTGGCTTGATAGAAGCTAAAGGAGCAGCCAGTATAGCTCGGTTGAGTCATCATGATAGGCAAACCAGACCATCACGTCATAGTGACTGTGTCTATCTTATTGACATAAGTTCATTAAGTAACTTTTCTTCACCACCTAAAGCTTTCTCATTCACTTCGGCATCGGACAATTTGCCTTGACACACGAACGCGATGAAATGAGATTAACAAGGTCAATAGCAAAAGAGATCGAAGTAATTTAATGACTATGATAATAAAAAAGACTAAACACTGGGAGCATAGTTAAAAAGATAGAATTGAAAATTTGTTTAAATGAATTCAGGTTTGTGAGGATGATAAATAGTGAATGTATCTACGCCATTGTCAATGATTCTGAGCTATATTATCTCAAGTCTTCAACCACAGTTTTGTTGTTTACTCCAACCAAGTAATATATATGTACTAGTTAGGCTCAGACGAACTGTCAATTGATCTCATTATTTTGGTTTAACTACCCTTCACTTCTACACCAGATAATCTCTGTACGTTTAATACGTGAGTTACCAACTTATTAGTTGATTTCCAGATTATTAAAATTTCCAAAACTTAAACCGCCAGTAAAATCATATTATGGAAAATATTGAATAGACTTCATTCCCAAGGTTACATCTTGTACAGGGTATCTATATAGTCAAGAGTAGTCTTTGAACCATTAACAAAGGTAACAAATTTTTAACTTGATCAGTCAGACCATCAGTCAGTCAGTCTTGAGTGCTGTTAGAAGTATAAGGGCGGTTATCACTTCCCGGTTGCTCACACGTGGATGGGCTCTTCTGGAGGTACCTGAAAGAAATTGGATTAAGGGTGGTCTTATCGACCTGAGAGCATGACCGCAGGTCGACCTTTTCTAACCACACCCCTCTTTGTAGGAAGACAGCATCGCTGTTATGCTTGGTTGTCTGAAGGAAACATCACATTGCCGTCACACCTCTATGCAATCAGCTGTACGGCTTCGTCCTCGGAACTTGGGTTTGTTGCTTTTAGTCTTACCGTTCTTCAACCGACCTGTCTGTCATAGTAAGACCTTGAGGAAAGACTGTTCTAGCCAGTATAGCTGGATTGGTTCATCACGATAGGCAAGCCCGACCACCACGTCAAGGAAGTAACAACGGTCGGTCTGTTGTTTTTTCAAATTAAGCAGTTTGGAAAATACATTGATGAATCTATTAAAAAATTGGTACATCCCGATCATTGTCTTAGCTTTTTCCACAATTAATTCAATAAATTGTCTCCTAATAGTTTTGATAACATTGTTCTTGTTCTTTTCAACATTTTGTTTGTTTGTTGTTTTTTTTTCAGGTTGATCATCTACATATTGCTTTATCATTTAACAATACTTCATTATATTCAAAAATCTTATCTAATACTCGTATAGATCTATCAAAACGTTTTATTGGTTGTTTATTAAATGGAAAATTATTTCTTGACAGCACTTTAGGTGCTAATATATTTGCTAATTTATCACAAATACAACCAGATCATGGTACACAACTAATTTATCTTCTTTTGGGTTCTATGAATGATCCATTATTGAAACATTCTATTGGTTTTGATTCTATTGATCATTCATTGTTATCTCAAATTATTGATTTTATCTGTCCATATGGTGGACTCAAAAAGATTAGTTTAACGTTAGTTTAATCATAATTGAATGTTATTTTATTTGATTGACGTTGTGATTTAATCATTCATTTAATTGTTTTTAGCAATAAACAAGACATTAATTAAGTTTTTTATTGACATCATGAACCGATTGATGTTGGACCACCATTGAAAACCTGGAAGCACTAGATGACCGTTTCGTCCTATTGTGGGACTCCTCATTAGTGCGCATCCACGATCCCGTTCGAGGGATTCGAACACAGGGCCTTCAGTCTCGTACGCGAACGCTCAACCTACTAGACCACTAAGTTGGAATCCAACGGTGTTAATGTCTAACCTCCCACAATAGGACGAAACAGCCGTTCAGTGCTTCCAAGTTTTCAATGGTGGTCTAACATCAATCGGTTTATGATCTCAATCAATAACTTAATGATCTCCACAACCTCATACTGATAAGTTTTTTTGCTCGAACCAGTAAAAATTCTACCATAATGCCGCAGTATTGTAGACAAAATATCTGTTTACTTATCACTGAATTAGTATACTCTTCAACAGTTCTACCTGTTTGATTCGATAAAACATTTTCTCTTGAGGTAAAAGCGTATGGATATGCTACTAGTATTCAATCACGAATATCTTCGATGCGTTACTAATGTATGTATTTTAGTTGTAGGGTCCTAGGTAAAGAATACAAATCATTCGACAAAACTTGATCAGGTGTTTATCGACTGGGATGGTTGGGAGATGTGTACTGCATATCTCGAAACCTCACTGCAACCTTCATATCCGTCCTGAGTAAAAAGAAAATTGCCATGCACACAACTTTGTCAAAAAGTGTTCAGAAAGTCGACAAAACTACACGAAATTATCTCCATGAAAACAAATAATTCTCTTATATGAGAAATTTGCAAAAAATCATCACAAGGATTCTAAAAAACCTTTAAAAATCAAAGTTGCTCACAAGTTAACCGAAACTTTTACGTTTTGTGATGACCAAAACACAGCAGCGAAAAAAGACAAATGCACTATCATTTACTAAATAAATTGTTCCAAGTGCGATAAATACTATCTTGAACAAAATGGATCTCTTCTATATCTGTCTATACATATCTATCAACTAGCGGTATAACTATATATCACACGTATCAGCGCATATCGATGTGCACAAAAATGAATTGGATTGAGAAAGCTTATAAATTTATAAATCGAGGAAATTCAAACGATTACAGGGAATTTCTGAAGGCATAGAACTCAGGTCAACTTGTTATCAGTAAGCTTGTAAACGTTTGTCAAATATACCAACCTATAAGAAAATGATAAACCAATCACCTGACCAATAGTCATCAGAAAAAAATGAAAGAGAAGTAAACAGAAAAACTAATAAAACATCAGAGAGCAACCATTCAAAACAGATTGGTTTATCGTTTATCGTTTAATTATGCAGCTCATTTTAACATGAAGTAAGCGCTTATTATCATGTCCAGAATGACAATGTAAGAGTTTAAATTTAATCACTAAGCTCAGAGATGACACAGTTAAAAGCAACCATCATCTGGACTACAAATCTTCTCAGGTCTATTGGTTTTCAGTAATTTCAGTATGTTTTAATCGATTGCCTGAAAAGTGGTCTTTTGTTTTTTTTCTACGTTTTTTAAAATTTTCTAGGCAATTCATTCAAGGTTTCATTAATTTAGCTTTATCAATTCAAACCGATATAACAGTTTTTATAAATCAACCACATTTAAATTCAACTTTTCTAAGTCAATTAGAGAATTATCTTGTATCACATGGTGTAAAACAACGTAAAGCTAAACATGAATTACATTTGTTATGCCCTCCATTACTACCGCCGTCGTCAACATTAACGTCAAAAGTAGTGGAATGTTATCAAAATAATCAAACTACTGATTCATCTGTTAGTAGTATTAGTACTAATAGTGATGATAACATAGTATTAACTAGTCAAAGTATTAATAACAATCAACCGTTGATTTCAGTGAATTCTTTCGAGGTAATACCTTCGAAATCATCAACATTTACTACTACTACTAATAGACAAAGTACACGATATGATACAACACTTAGTGCTATGCAAGGTATGTTGTTTTTTTCCTTGTTGATGTTATTGATTATTAGTGCATATGTCTGTGTATGTGCATGTTTAATGATGAAATTTTCTATCTAAAAAGATATAATGTACTTCAAAAACACTTCAAATGTCAATAATTAATGATATTATCCTCCCGATCAAAGTAAAATGAAGTTTGGTGGATCTTTGATCTACTCATTGAGTATATAAGACATGTGTTACGTTGCCCAACCACTGACGAATTCGATGGTCAATTTTTTTCTGGTGTATAACTTGTCTGGAAGAAAGCTAATAGCGACCAAACCAAGACATAGTATCAGTTCATGAAGACACTGACACTGTACTGAACCGTGTTAACAGATGATTATTGTAACCAATGTTTAGGGACCATAAATGACATGGTTTAAAATTGTTTGAAATAGCGCAAGTGCATCCACTCTTTGCCTCTTCTACCCTAGATTCTAAGTTCCTAAGTTTCCCATATTTTTTTTATTAACTAATGTATCTTTTGTTGAATTATACCTTTGTTGCTTAATCTTTTCTATTATCACTGATAGTGTTACTACCTTTATTACTCTGGAAATTTGCCTTGAAAATTTCATCTCACTGTACTAATAGGATATAGCAACTTGAACCAATGTATACACATATCGGATTCGACTTTGTATTTGACTGACTGACTGACTGAATTGTGTACTATCATCTCTATTCAATGATTAGTGGTAATTAGCAGGAAATTATCATGTATTTCTTTCTAGCTAATTTAACTAATAAATTACCAATTGATTAGTCAAAATTTCCCTATTGTCCAGGTACAGTTTTATTTATTCAGTTTATAATTCATAATTACTTGGTTCTTCATATTTAATTTAAATGTTGACAGATGATTGAAGTAGAGACGAAACTCTTAACTGATACGTTAATGAATAATGATTATTCATTAAAGTTTATAAACCTCTGGAGGGGTTGCAATACGATTAAACCTATGACATTTCTGGCACCCAAAAAGCGAGTCTACATTATGTTACCATTTAGAGGCGACACAAATAGTCTCATGTTGAAACGGAGACTTAAATAAGCCATCAACCGGACATTTTATGCAGCCCAACTTGTCATTATTGAAAAACGAAGGTCTATGTTTCACCAAAATTCCGAATAGCACGTAAGCGATTGTGTCTATCAATTTACATGTATATGTGGAAACACGTACATAGGGAGGAGAAATCGTGATTTGCAGTTAAGGGTGGATGAACACATACCAAAATGGTTGCAGAAACAAATGGATTCCAATGGTCAAATACGTTCACAGGATAGACAGACATCATCCTCCATTGCAAAACATTTAATCGAGACTGGTCATAAGGTTGACATCAATTCAGAATTTGTAGTGTTATACAAAAGCCTTCAAGGACGTATATTAAGGTTTATTGAAGCCTTGGCTATACGGAAACTGAAACCCACTGAATGCGTCAGAAACAATTTGTCCTTACACTTAACCTACCCTGGTAATATTGATCTATTATCTAGAGTGGTTATCACATTGTTTTTGTGTACCTTATTATTATTTTTCTTTGTTACGACTTACCTTTAACCTGTCTAATTGACCTTTTCATTTTCATATAAAGATGTCTTAACAAGTATATGTGTGTGATCAGATTGTTCGAAATGTATTGCGTAAATATATCACATAGTTCTGATAAGCTTCGTCTTCTCATTGCATTATCGAGATTATACTTGTGTCAAGTCCTCTATTATAGTCACTTAACACTGATTATACTGTAGTAGCTTGGTTTCGAGATAATTTCTTAGGGTTCGTTTATCAGTCACCGTGATAACCGTTATTAAATGAATCCCAACAGTGTATGAATTCAGAAGGCAACACGAAGCGCCGAATACAGTTTATTATTAGCTGGCGCAGATAACAAAGCTACAAACACGCCAAGCCATTTTGAGCAGAAAGATTAATGCACGCGAGCAAGCGGATTCAGATTCAAATCGGATCGAAGACAAGCAATTAATAAGATTTAATCTTCATATATATATGGGAAAGCAAATGATTCATCGAGCGATATTTGAGCAATTAACAATTGAGGTAGGGTGAGGTTTATGCACTTAGGCTGCTGCTACACTGGTCGTCTTCTGCATTTATCGTTGCGTGTGCGATAGAGGAGCAAGATCATCTGCAAAGTCATCTAACTGTATCCTAGCTGTCACTGTATCCCGTAATTCCCCTCAGTTATTGATATCTTCATGATCCAATCGATCACCAGAAGAAAGAGAAAGGGTGAAAGTAAGCAACCTTATACCTGACACCGATCTTTACTTCGAACGAGTCAGTGAGCTATCCTCTCTGTCCAAATAACACTATCTGTTAAATAAGTTAATTGAATGGTTTAACAAAATTAACCGTAATCCAAATTCAATTGTATAGGAGATGTTATAATATAACTCTACCTATTGATTTCATTTTTCTTTTAATTTTTTATCTTCTCTATTCAATAAATAAATTTAGCCATTAGTACTGGTACCACTCCATTTATTCGTCTTTCTAAAGAAACATGTCAATCAATTGATCAAATTCATGATAAAACAACATTTTGGTTCAATGATGAGAATACTGTTATTCCAGAAAATTTAAAAACTCGTTTAAATCGTATGCTTGTAAATACTACTGACAAATCTACTAATATTGGTCGTATAGGTGAATTATATATTTATCATACATTCATTGATTATATTCATCGTATACAAATTCATCATAATAATTTTGATGAAATGACTAGTTGTGAATTTCCTACTGGGCATCCTTTACTTGGTATTGGACGATTAATTCGATGTAATTGGTGTAATTCCGATGTGGAATCAATGAAACCATATGACTTTGAGGTAGATGTTCAAGGTAATTGAAATCATATATTAATTCTTTCTTATTTCATCGATTATTGTCTATTGTTTTTGTTTTTTCTTTCTGTTTTAAAAATATTGATATCATTAGCTAAGTAAGAAAACCACTGAGAACGTAGAGAAGAATTCAGCAATCCTCTAGTCATTAACGATTGATTTTAGGAAGTAATTTAAAAAGAGTTCTTATGCGAAACCATTGTCAGTAGAATTCACTTATGTACAGTGTGATCCAGTTACCCAATAATGTCATTCTATTGTGTGTTGTATTATATCGCTAATTCAAATGAAGTTAGCAATGTAAACTATTATGCCAACTCAGAGCTTCAAAAAGTTAAACACTAACTGTGAAATACGAATATTTGTGTTGTAGATGTTCATTGTTGTTAAGTTTACTAGTCTTTTTAAAAACAAAAAAACAACAACAGTTATCCAGTCCTTCTTTGTCTTTAATGGTTGTCTAACTAAATTCATCATGTAATGTAAACTGAAATCTTGTCAGTTTGTGATCATCACTGCATTTCGATCCAGCGATTTAGAGATATTGTGTTCAGCTTAAAACCTGTCTCGTTTGAGTTTCATCTCGTGATTTGAAGCGGTTGGTGTACAACCTAGACAGAAGATTGAACAAAGTAGCTATCTCGGAGTGCACATGGGCTCCAGTATCCTGCGGGAACAAATGGCGTATGAACCAATTGTTGGTCACCGGCCACCATAGGACTGCATCTCCTCATGATGCTCCACTGCCTTGTGGATCAGACCTTTAGGTCAAAGGCTTGGGGTGTGGCCCTCGGTCTCGGCACCCTGGCAGTATCACAGCCCACACACACAAATATGGTGTGACGCATATATATTTGGTACCCTCTTGTACCAATATTTATGTGTTGAAATAAATAATATCCTCTCTTTAGTTTCTCAGTGGTTATTCATCTAATGTCAGTTCATAATAACAATCATTTTGGTAACTACTGTTACGACATTTTAAAAAGTTTTGTAATTTTTTAAGTAATTAGTATTGAAGTATTTGAAGATGGCTTACACTTCGTTTCCATATTAAATCATTTACTTGAAAGTGTAGAAAAGTAACCAAATATCCCCTACTTTTGTATCACAATTTGACTGAATAGCGCCGAATATCATATACTGGAGATAAATGTGTCTTTATTCATCTTATTTTCCTACGCCATTCTGGCGACTTAATTGTGTTTAGACTATACTACTTAATGATGTATAACTAGTTGTTTGTATCCCGTTTTCATAGTTGAATGTGATGCGAACAAGTGGGACAACTTAATTGAAAACTTAAAGGATGAAATAAATAACAATATTGTTCGAATTATTCGTAGACCTTCACAACAACAAGATAGTACATCATCTGAAACATCAGGTTTGCTATCTGTTGGTCCTATATTCATTGAAGTTAAATCAACAATGGATTCGACTAATCTACATAGTAATAATAGTGAAACGAATTTAAATTCTGGAACTGATCTTTTTGAATTTTCATTACCGGAAATTTTGTGTGCTTCACAACAAGGTTGGCGTTATCATTTACTACGTGTAATATGGAAAAATGATTACAGTCAAGATTTCTGCCAAATGCGTATCGCTTCTGCTCCGACAGTTATTCACATTCCAGATTTGTCAAATGTACTCAGACAGAAATCAGTGAATATACGTTTATGCTTAGCTTTGTTACGAAGTGAATGGATAAAATGAATCCCTTGTAAATTTTATTCAGTCGTACCCTTTCTAACCTAATCCATTGTAATTAGTCTTGGTTTGCTTTTCATCAAGTCTTGTTGGTGGATAAAAATAAACAGATCAAATATTTTTCCAGTAGAATGGACTTTTGTTACACCTTTAAGCCTGGTTGGAAAACCGAATCGATAACACTGAGCTTTGTGTTTAAGATGAATAATAGTCTAATAATGAGACTACAAGTTCAACATCGAAAATTGAGACTTATGAAGTCGGTCGTCAAAATAGCTTGTCTAAACTTCATCACTTCAACATATTGTAATGAAGGTATCTTCGAAATAGCTAACAATGTATGTAAAACACTAACTTGGTTTTACACTGTCCTATAAAATCTATTTTAAAGACGACTTTTTTAAGTAGTTGAAATGCAATCACTGAAGTTCGCCGGCCATCTGTCTTCTAAACTCTAATTTTCCAATGTCTCATGGGTATAGCTTGGATGAAATGAATTGGGGGAGGGAAACTAGTGGTGGATACAAAATATACCGATTACTAGTAGGGTGGGGAAAATAGTTCTGAAATGTCTCGCGTAGACAGTTGTATTTTCCAATAAGTAGCGGAAGTTTGAAATTTATATTGTCAACGGAACTATGTGTGTCTCAGCAGTGATATGTTAGACGGACACATACCATCCTATTTTAATTGGGGTTCTTCGACATCAAGATATATACTGCAAGCACATGTGTTAGGATCAATGAACGGAGATATTATTCTTTTTCCATGTCTAGTCACCTGAGAGTTTTATGATTTAACAAATGAGTAAATTTTCCTCAATAGATCAGGAAGGATTATTATGACAAAATGCCACCATAATTTACGGACACAGAGTCGGGTAAAATAGTCAGGCCTTGGGATTGACAGAAAAATGTCTTGAAACCATATTTAGCTGTATGAATCTCAAGATTCATACTGTGACACCCTGTGGTTCGAATTATCATCTATTATTTGATGTGTTGGAAAAAAATTTGTAGTTCGACAAACCAAGTTTCCCTTCACTTTTCCCAGCTCAACCTCTGTTACTAACAGGGACTATTCTCTACAACAAGCCTAGGGGAATACTTATTTATCATTGAGAAATATGGATTTGTTATAAAGAGATCATTATGTTCCATAATCCTACCCACTTTAGACAGATTAAACCTTGAGGTGTTCCTTAAACTGATACTACCAGAATACTTATGTGTTTAGTAGCCTATATCTTTGATAATACATTTTACTTCGTATCACTGAACCCCATTCACAAATGCTCTTATCAGAGAACGTTTCTCACTATGAAGTCCTGTTTCTAGTAGAAACTGGTTGTTGACTGTCATTAATATTCAAAATGATCCTATGAAACGTGTCTTCCAACGTTCATCCGTGTACGTGAACAATTATGCAGTGTGGATTGATCTACTGGTCCGTTTCCAACTTGCATTCTCGTGCAAACCAGGCAAAAAACGGAATTCCAGATACGTGTTTCTGATAAGCAAGTAGTTCAGAATTTATCCTTGATTCTAATCCTAAAAGCCTTCCTCTGATTCAGATTTGACCCTGACGAAGTTAAATAGACTATATTTAAAATTCTTTCTTGGATAACCTGTCCGCTTGACGAGTATCACCAGGCTCATGATAGAAAAATTCTAGAAAAATATTTTTAAATATACAGCTCTGATTTTCAGCAATGAAATCCTGGAGCTAGATTGTTTACCAATAATTTTACATCACGCGCCAAATCTAGTTAACTTGCAGCGACAAGTGTGAGGAATCACCATTCTCTTCTCTGACAGCTGATCAAACCAAAGATAAAAGAAGTCGAAAATTGACCCAATTAATGAAGTTGGAGCACTGGAAGAATTGTAGTTTGTTCGTTCCTGCTAAAGTTGAATTTTCGGCAACTGCATTTCCGGTTTTGCCTTTTGTTTCTCTTCATTCCAGGTTGGTCATTGCATACGCATAACATGTGTAAAGCGAAGGTTATGCAAGCATGACAGACAAAAGTAATAATGCTACTTATTACTGTCTTTCGATAATATATGAAAAAATTTATCGTTGTGTGAGTGGCGTCGTGGCTTGTGATTATTGGCAATAAAAAATTATATTGTAAAGCCATTTGTTTCTTTGACCTTAAGAATTGGAGAAGTTCGCAGAATAGCATCCCGAAGCTAAGAATTAGTCATCTGCGTATCAGCCTCAAAACACCTATTAGTTGTGCTACTAAACCCTTCAATAGTAACTGTAATTGTTTAGAAAATATACTGATTCTGATAATAGTATAAAATTTCCCAGTGATAGGTTATTGGCAGAGTATTCATCGTCATTAGTTTATGTGCTCCTTTCGTCGATTACATAGTAGTGTCTAATTTTATGATATACACTGTCTTACAGTCAAAAATCGGCTTCACCTCAAATGGAGCACTTCTCTTCGATTCGTACCTAATCTATAGTTCTGACATGAACTTTCACAATCAGCCAAATAGAACCTTCCTAATGACCATCATGGTCCTTTCATCCCTCTTATTTGTTTTTAGGTCAAGACATTAAGGGACACTCGAGTATCACATGTTCCTATCGTACATTGTTCCGCTAATTTGGTAATGAAATTGTATAGTTTTATTTGGAATGTTTAATGTTTTTTTCCACTTTCGTTGCTGTACACGAATATTTTTTTCAGCCATATCTTTCATGTATCCCGGCACTACAGAGCAGCTACGAGTCTGGATTGTGAGCTGAACGAAATGGCGGGGTGATTAGTATATTAGTCTTGTTTGTCTTGCCCTGTTTCAGCAGTGATGTGCTTGATAGTCTATGATTCTGGCCAGCATGTGTAATGGTTCATACACGTTGAGAAGTAAGAGTATCCATTTACATTTGCTAACGATCCTACTAAATCAAGATGAACGTGGTTAAAAACAAGTGTCAGGAGTTGCGATGGAGCCCAAAAGACATCAAAAATATCAGGAAGTCAACCATGATAATAGTTAGTGTGAACATGGGCAGACTTTGGATCAGAAACTGAAAGCAGACATTAAAAGAATGAATAACAACTGTAAAGAATGTCCCAAGACAGAGTAGGATGGAGAGTGCTGGTGGGAGGTTTATGTTCCTCCATGAGGGGTAGCAGGCTTAATTAAGTAAGGATTGTAGGCACTTACATTAAGAAGAAAAAACTCAAACAGGTAAGATGTTAGAAATTCTACCTCATTTTACAGTCAATTAAATGGATACTAGACCTTGTTTGCATCACTTATTGGTAATCACACCGACATAGAATCGGTGAAACCAACCACTTTCGAAGGGAGGATCGTTAGTGAAGCTTTCGAACTGAATTATAGTTTCAATGTAGGGCAGGCTTACTGGAAGTCTGCGGCCATTGTAAATAAACCCACTATTGTCAACACTCAGTGACAGATTCCATTCGTGTATATCTTATGTTTTTTTCGGATTATCGCTGGAATATTTTTTTGGTAACATTTTAATATGGTTTGTTTAGTTACGAGGAGATTTCCTCGACTTCTTTATTACTAAACCGTGACAGCACTTAGTACTACTACTAATTCGTATGATCTATTACTCATTTATACGTGAAAATACTGACATTCATGTGCATTTCGGACTGATGGTTAACGGAAGTTCATCGAACGTGAGTGAGTGCATGAAGGCAAATTTGACGGTGATGTTCTCAGTTTGCTTATACTAATGATTTGCACGAATGACTGTGTTATAAAATTTGGAACTAGACTACCTACATATGTGTCAGAAGGTAAGTTTTCTCTACTTTTTCTTACGTGTTTGATTCGCGGTTTTGTGGTTGTAGAATATAACTATTGCAATAGGTCGATGTTTTTTATAACATGAGCAAGTTCAACGGAGTAGATCCCTTGTAAACCCTTCAAATAAGTTATACAAGACAAGGCACCTGCAACTACGTCGTCTGTTTTGGAAGTATATTGTTTGTCTGAAGTAAACTGTGAGATGATTTATGAAGAGAGTGAATTCTCGGCCTTCCATAGTATTGAAAGTGTGGTATGGCACAATACATGACTAGGCGTTCTTTGAGCATAGATTCATATCTGAATTCAGTGTCGTAGAATCATATCGACGAGGACGCAAATGTCTTGGGTTGGAATCTCTTGTGCGGGATCATGGATGAGCACTGCTGAGGAGTCCCATACCAGGATGAGACGGCCGTCCATTGGTTCTAGGTTTTCAATAGTGGTCCAACATTCACCGACTCACCAATTCAATCCAAAACTTAATAATTTTCAGTCTCGCATTGATAGAAACTCGAAATGATTCCTTTACAAAACTTGTGTACTAATAATTTGTGTGTGGCTAATAATGTTAAAAGCTATGGGGTGTTTTCATGGTCGTTGGGAGACGAGGTCAAGATATTGATGATGATATTGTGTTTACGTATTTTCAATCAGACCATTTTCAAGATGAGTATGCACAAAACTGGTGCCTCTGGATATATACCTTTGAACGTTTCGCGCAGCACTTCTTATACTGCGAAAATTCGTGGAATCCGAAAGGAGTGATGGAAGAATTCGAAGGATACCATCCATAGCCATAAGGATTTAGTTGTTTTTTTAAATTACGTTAGGCGTTGAAAAGACAGCCATATCCGTGCAGTTGTCAGGTTACGGTCTTGAGTGCTTTTTATGCAAAGTCACTTATGACCAGTTGGATATCATTAAGAGTACCATAAAGAAAGGAGATGCTCATGGACTCTTCGATCACGGGATTACTGCACAACCTGTTATATGTGTGAACTTCATATCAGCTAATCTTAGCTTTCTAGGAGCTAATCGTTGAGCTGTTAAGAATAGAGATGGTCCTGTAAATGCTGGCTTAACACATTTTTTTCTGTTTGGATTTGTATGGTCCACAATATTTGTCGTTATACTTATTTATCGTTTGAAAATCTGAGTTGTTACATTTTTGACTTTAACAAAGGATAACCTGCAGCCAGGAAA